TCGGAAAAATCACGTACCTCAACGAGACTGGAAAATCCGCTTTCCAACGATAAAAAGAGCCTTCTCGTTTGCTCACGCGAAAATGTACGATTTCCACGGTGCTATCAAGTATTTCAAAGCGAACAGAACGGAATCACCAAATTCGTGAATATACGTGTATAATAGATACGTATTATACATGTATATAACTGCATACGCATATATATTAGGTTGTCCCATAAGTTCTTTCCGCGCCGCGCTATGTATGACTTCGAGCCGGCTATGTTTGTAGACATGCAGGCTTATTTATTGTCCATTTATGGTATTTATTTCAGACTTCTTATAGCTCTTTCAAAATACATTTCGTTGCAGACAAAGTCTCTTTTAAAATCTTTTTCTACGCCGTTTAATATGGATAGCCAAAAGAATCATTTGCGGCATGTTATGTTTCATTGCTTTAAAAAAAAATAGTAGTGCAAATAAAAGGACAGCAAACTCAACAGCTATCTCCTCTTATCTCTTCTACTTTTTCTCTCTTCTTCTCCCTGTATTGAAAACATCGAAAGTTCGTGTGGTTTCCGATGGTTATTAAAACAGAAATGATTAAATCGTGCCACTAGTCGTCTCGTTAGAGATACATCTCGTTTTTCTATATTTCCCTTATATCTCACCCACGGATATTTTGCGTGGTAGACCGCACGTATCGTTGCGTTCACGTTCGATGAAATTAATTAAGAGTCTCTTAATCGCGCAACCAAAGTCCATAATACACGTAACAAATATTAAAAGTGCTATGCCATTTAACCGAACTTTTAATCTTATTTTATATCTTGCCACACGGATATTATTATTATTAATATACTTTTTTTTATCATCCAGAAGTAGGTAGAAGAAGTTAGAAAAAAGACGAATGATCATATTTAAAGATATATATGCATACTAATAGATTTTATAAATCATCATAATCCGATATGTTTATATATCTCTCTACTGTTCGATTATAAAATTAATTAATTAAGAATTTCATAATAGCATCAACACGTCATAATGCACTAAACGGTATAGATCAATAATGCTAAACAGAATTTTATCCTGTTACACATTATTGGAAAAGAAAAATATATATATATATATATATATATATATAATTACAGTATTAGAAAATATATATTTAGATCGGATCAATTTTCTGAATCACTATAGTTCGATGCGTTCACATTTACCGTTCAATTATGGAATTAACAAGGCGAACAGGCGGCCCTTTCGGTCAACGGCGTAATAAATGTTCACCGTGGCAACGATAACGGGGGCAAATGAATGCAACGGATACCGGTATTTATGCGATCCAGATATCAGTGGAACAATAACGGTTTCGCGTGGTATCGTGGGTTCGCGCCCATGCCCGCGGCCGACCAACCGAGTACGCGCGCGAGCGCGTAATTATTTTCGGATTAATGGGCGAAGGTCCACTCGAACGTTTCTATATACTTACATATAGTTATATATATATATATATATATATATATATATATATATATAGGGAGAGAGAAATATACATAGATATTTTTGTATATTAATATGTCTTTATAGATAATATGTGTGTGTATATATATACGTATGTATTATATGTAGATATGTATGTAGTGTTACATCGAACTGAGCCAAAAAAAGGGACGCACGATCGAACTTTGTAAATTCAACGGGTAATTGTTGATCGTGGTTTCGTGCGAAACTGAGAACAATTAATCCCCTTAATGTTAAATTTCAGTAATGACGAAAAAATTCTACCTGATTCTAGAGATTTTGAAAGTTGTCTTGGTTGTTGATTTATTAGAGATGGGTAGAGAGAGAGAGAGAAAAAGAGAGAAGAGTTTTGTTTTAAAACATACAAATATTTCAATCAACGTTCTTGGTGTAAAAGAACAATTACTTTGTTTTAAAGGTATAAATTTTGTTTTTTTAGTTGTTAACTAGTACATTTTTCTTATCACAGAAGTAGTTCTTTTCTTCTTTACACTACGTAACCTAATTTTTATAATATATAATTATATTTAATAGAATAAGTATAGTGTACTTAGTATAATTATATTACTTAAAGCTGTTCACCACTTCTGGTTTTCTAATAGTTTATACCAGTAATGAATTCAGCCGTAATCCTTGACCGATTTTGATAAACAAGATTTCATTTTAAAGCTGAAGGCTTAAATGAAAAGAGTCGGCTTTTACGAGCTTTACAAAATTGTATTACTAATTGTAAGAATAATTATATTTATTATTGCCACATATATATTATATAATTTCTTTGTTCTTGCAGTTAGATATAAATTAACATTTTAATTAAGAAATCATACCCGATAAAGATTAAACAAAAATGTTCGTATATTCACATACAACACATATATATATATATATATGAATGTATTCATATTTTACAATTTGAAATATGATGCACTATTGTATCCTATCTAAATAGAAATTTTTAAGTCATAAATGATTCCATGTGTTAAACCAATTAAGATTATTAATTATAAATCAAATTCATTCGAGTTAAATCCTTTCTTGACCTAAATCAAAATAAGAAATAACGAAGAAAGATAAGAAAGATACTGAGGGATGACTGGAAAACCGAATTGTGAAACTCATTCAGAATATAAGCGTTTCGATGACGCCTCGGAAAATTTACTGGCCACGAAAGGCAACGGCGATATACAACAGAGAAAGGGATTAAGATGCGAAACGGTTTCTCGCGAGCGAAGAAAAGCCATAAATAAAGGATATCCGACTTTATCCATCCCAACCTCTTACTCTCTCTCTCTCTCTCTTTCTCTTTCTCTTGTATGCTTTTCGGTAAGATAAAATAAGACACCTTAAGACCGATTTCAAAAATGTGCACTCCCCATTTACCTGGGAGACTTGAAAATGCTCGTAATGAGTATCTCACAGCCATCTTTTTGGTAGTTTTTTCCCTTCCTTTTTCTTTTTTTTACTTTTTCTTTTTAGAAGCCCGCTATATCTTGGAAATAATATAGAGTAGTCGTGTTAAGAGAAAAAGAAAGAAATAAAAAGAGAGAGAGAGAGAGGGAAGGAGAGAGAAATGAGAAAAGAGAGATACGTTCCAGTAAGAATATTTGTGTGGGAACCAGAGAGATGGCTTGGCTTAGGAGCCACCTTCCCGTCCTCCGCTCTTTTCTTAGCTGGAAAGGACTCGACAAATATCATAAAATGTAAATTCCAAGGATTCCGGTTTGATCCCGAGGAGAACCTCTCAATTTACCAATACTGGAACTTCCTATCTCTCTCCTTTTTCTGCCATTCGTTTTTCTGACACATTTAACTTTATCTGCATCTTCTCTTCTGAAAACTTACGACGAATAAGACTTATTTTTAACTTGAAATATAATACATAGTTACGTAAATTTATAGGATTTTTATATCCTTAAATATAGACTTTTTTTATTAGACCTGTAAATACATTTTGTACTATGTATATATTTATAATCAAGAAAAAGTCTTCTCGTCGTCCGAGGACAACCCAGACAACGGTTACAGCACCTCTTCATATTGGAACATACAGCACATAGGTATATATAATATATATGTATATATATTATATTACGAGAGAGAAAGAGAGAGAGAGAGAGAGAGAGAGAGACATACACACACACATACGTACCTACATACATATATATGTATATATATATATATATATATGTACGTTGAATGTTCCGAGTTAAGCCGTATAAGATAGATGGTCCAGCCGTTAGCCCTCTCTCACCCTTAACGTTTCACTCGCGTTTATGATATATGATGTCGCCTTTAAAAACTGGCAGATGTGTTTTCGCTCGTCGTACGAAACCGAAATGGACAACGACGTTGAAGATAAGGAAAAAGTAGAGAGAAAAGAATAAAAAGAAAAAGAAGGAGAGATTGAGCGAGAGTTTCTGAATGCTGTCATCACGTAACTATTGTCTTGATATTCCCAATAGAACTCACAGTTGAACGATGTGATCGTATTCAATACGGGAAGAAAACTTGTGAAAAATTTGTATTGTAAGAAAATTAAAGAGGAAAAAGGGAAAAGGCGTGTCTCGTGGCTCGGGGCAACTCAATTCGTGAATATATTTATTTTTGAAATGTTTTTAAGATATACCTACACGCAGTTAGGAACTGTAAATAAACTTTTAAATGGAAGCGAAGCGTGCTTTAAGGCGCATTGCATTTACTCGATTTTCAAGCTTCAAAAGTAAGTACACTGTCGAGGGACTTGTAGAAAAGTATGTATACGTATATACGTATGTTATACATAAACACAAAGTCACGTAGGTATTCACCCCTGCGTATTCGTAGTTGTAAGTTGTAACGATAAATAAAGTGGTAAAGAAAAACTAGGACAATCTTGTGTAACTCACTTAAGACGATCATCTGTGTTCTCTCAACAAACCGGCAGTCTAAGTTTTGTCCACTTCTAACATGACTACCTGCTTTTCTTCTCCAACCAACGAAATTATACTTTTCGCCACACCGACATATCTATAGGAAAGCATATTACTTTTTATATATATACAGGTTGTCCCAGAAGTCACTTCATCGAACTACAAAATTCTACATTTGTTTTGCTATGTATTTAAAATAGCGACATCGTAGGCCCATAGTTTTTTAACAATCTATAAATATATATTTTCTTCAAAAATTTCATCGAACTTTGTGAACAAGCTAATATTTAATAAACCAATATTGATCTTTTATTTTGTTTTACTTTTCTCAGTGAAACGACTCTTAGGATACCTTGTATATATCTAATATATATAACATATAATATACTTGTTAAATATATTATATTGACAAATTCAAATTTGATCAATAAGAATTACGACTTATATAAAAACTTATATATTAATTATCGTTAATTATATACTCGATAATTTTCATGTCATATTTTCTGTACAGATTACATATATTCATATATCGCGCTTAATGCAGCCATATTGATTGTTAGTTCACTTTCTGATATAGAAATCTCAGATAGCGCTGCATCCACAATCTTTAGCACTCATTTACGGTTCTCAATTACAGTATATAATAACATTTAAAGTTTTCAGTCACTATTAGATTAATAATAACAAAGTATGAATTAAGAAATACTGTATTTATATTATTGCAATCATTGTCATTTTATATAATAACATTTAACTCTGCACAAATACATATATCACGTTATACGTAAGTAGACAACATTATACAGAAATTAAATATTCATTTACTTATATAGAAAAAGCATATATATCCATATATATATTTTATTATGAGAATGAAGTAATTAAATAATGATTATAATTTCACACAGAACATGAATAGTATTCGACACTCTTTACAACGACTGTCATTAAATAATAAGCCCTTTTTGAATGAACTCATTGGAACATTACGGAGGTCTATAGTATCATCGGCTAAACTTTACTCAAATAATGAAGTGTTTGATGAAGAAGATTATCAAAATGAAGATGAAAAAAAGTATAGTTGGTTAGACTATAATAACAACTTTTTTCCGATCCAATCACCAGATGAAGAAAGAAGACCGGCAGTACATAATTTCTTTTTACATATAATATAACATAATCATATTATCATGTATGATTTATATTTTTGTATCGATCCATTTTTATTTCAGTACGTATGCCATATGAAGGCAAATATAAAATACAGTCCAAAAAAAATGTGGTACATCGCTAGTTTTGTCAGAGGAATGACCGTAGATGAAGCTGTTAAACAGTTAAGTTTTATGCATAAGAAAGGTGCAACTATCGTTAAAGATACTATTTTAGAAGCGCAAGAGTTAGCCGTACTTAAACATAATGTTGAATTTAAAAGTAATTTATGGGTTGGTAAGTAAACTATACAATTTTATAAATATTCTATCATTTGCACCGAAGTTTATTTACAAGTTGTATTATTATATTCCAGCTGAATCTTTTTCTAGTAAAGGTACTGTCGTTAAGGGAGTAAGACGTCATGCTCGAGCTCGAATCGGAGAAATAAGGTACATGTATGTTCATTACTTTGTACGCTTAGAGGAAGGAAAGCCACCTAAAAATTATTATTTACCTGCTCCTCAAACTGGCGAACAACAAATAGAGAAGTGGTTGAAAGAAATGCGAATGCGCAAAATATATAATTCTTTGTAATTATATTCTTTATTTGTATAAATAAATTAAAATATTATATGATCTAGTATGTGAACCACTAAATAATCTAGGCCAAAGATATTACTTATAATATTTATTAAAATAAGTAAAAAATGATTCAATACATATCATGAAATTACACAATGAAAATTATGAAATTATGAAAATTATTATTGAGATTGGGTATTAAGAAAAGATATTTGTATCAAGATAAATTAAAGGATTTTATTTGAAATATCAGAAAATCATTTAAGTCAATGGAATTGATATCGCTGTAAGTTTTAAGACTAAATTACAGCTTCAACTTAGTTCTTCTCCAGTGACGACGCTTAGCATTGTACCTGGAATGTTTAGAAATCATTATTGTCTTTAACAGATAATAAAATCAATTATTTTTAATTGTTATCATTTTATAAATTGTCTACTATAAAAATAATAAAAATACTAAACGTGTAATAATATTAAAATTGTTACCACTAGATTAAATTCATAACCAAAAAATACATCAATAAAATTACTTTACAATTTTCATCATAATAGTAAAGAATTATATCTAAAAATGATATATAATAGCAATGAAAAATATAAAAATAATGCTAATAAAAATCAACTTACCGAATGGTATTTCCAGTACGCATTCTAACCCATTGAGGAATGGGCCTGTTTTGTTTCAACTTTTTGGCAAGCTTTCGCTTAATAATAAATGTTTTATGAGCCGACTGAAATACATAAAATAATTTATTAAATATTATAATATCACTTTCTATATCTCAATATCAAATTATATTAACGATGTAAATATATGCAATAGATTTCGAGATTATCAAAAAATCCTTACCATCTTCGATGCACTGCTACAACAAAATGGACAAGTTTTTCATCTATCGTGCAAGCACTAAGCAATATCACTATAGAATATTCCTAGCTAGATGGCGTTTATATTGCATTCTTATTTGTCCAGTTTCGAACTTCTGATTTAACATTCGAGTAGATATAAAATGGTATAAAACAGTATGTATTCGAGTTACGATTAATCATGAATATATCACGTGTTATGTTTATGTATGTAACTTTTAGATTAAATAAAGTAGACTGATCATTTTAAATATAAAATATTTAAATGTATTCTAATTTTGTTATTGTACATTGTCATGTTTTAACTTTCTCATATCTAATGATTAATAATTTAGATAAATTTTGTTCTAAAATCTAACTTTATAAAATATTTTTATTAGAAAAGAAACAAGAAGATTAATCTCTACGATGACAAACAAATTAGTTGCTATTTGTCAAATGAGATCTATAAATGATAAAGAAAAAAATTTAGAAGTAGTTGCCAAATTAATTAATGAAGCTAAGCAAAGAAATGCTTGTGTAAGAAAACTAATGATTATTTATTTAAAACACTTAATATATTGATAGCTAATAAATAATATTTAAAAATTTTCTTTTTATACATTATTATTATTATTATTATAGATAGCATTCTTGCCAGAGGCATGCGATTATATGGGTGAAAGCAGAAAAGAAATAATTGAATTAGCAGAACCTTTAAATGGTCCAACAGTTACTCGTTACAAGGAAATCGCTGCCCAAAATAATATTTGGTTATCATTAGGTGGCATTCATGAGGCAGTAATATATAATTAATTTTTTAATATTTTTATTTATTAATAATATCTCTCTCTCAATAGTTTGAAATTTTACCATTACTTAGCATTCGTTAAATTATTCAGCTTATAATTAGTATTAAATTATTTTCAGTTACCTGACAATGAAGAAAAGATTTGTAATACACATATTTTAATTGACAACGAAGGCAATTTAGTATCTAAATATCGTAAAATACATTTATTCGATATGGATAATAAGGATACAGGTGTTCGCTTAATGGAATCAGATTATGTTGTGAAAGGAGATAAGATAGTACCACCTGTTTGTACACCAGCTGGTTACTTGGCTTTAAGCATTGTATCCTTTTTAATTTTTCCTGTATTAGATATAGATAATATTTCTTAACTAAATGATTAGTGTTATGACATGCGTTTCGCTGAACAATCTCTACTTCTAAGAAATATGGGAGCACAAATTCTAACTTTTCCTTCAGCATTCACGTATCAAACTGGTGCTGCACATTGGGAAGTAATATTACGTGCAAGAGCTATAGAAACACAATGTTATGTTATTGCTGCAGCGCAAACAGGTGCTCATAATAAGAAACGTACAAGTTGGGGACACTCTATGGTATGGTTTTATATTTTTAAATAAATTGTTTCAATTGGTATTAAAACTATTAATTGTTTATAAGTATGTTACATCTATATATTTTGCTATAGATTATTGATCCATGGGGAACAGTTTTGGCACAATGCGCTGAGAAAATAGGCATAGCTATAGCAGAAATAGATTTAGATTTATTAGCTAAAATTCGCAAAAATATGCCATGCGAACAGCATCGTCGGACAGATTTATACCCATCAATGAAATGTTAAGAATTGTTATCTTTGTAATTATTTCAGTATTTAAAATTATTTATTTAAGTTTTAGGTAGATATTTGTACAGGATGAAATAGAATTTACTACAATATATTTTAAAATTAATATAAATTATTTATACTATATTTATTGTGTGATATATAAATCATTAATTTAATGTTTTTAGAAATATGTTGAAATTTCCAAGAATTTTATAAGATTATACTATTATCTTTAGGAAAATGTTGGCTAATAGAATATTTAAGATTTACTTTGATGATATATACTATCACTTGTATCTGGTCTACTATGAGGTCCCGTAAGATCTGTATCTACCCCTTGTAGTGCCCAATTGTGTTCACATATTTCTAAAGCTTCCCATTCAGATTTAAAAGCTGCTTTTGGATCTGGTGGCATTGACATTGCTGCACCCGACACTTGATCTTGTAAAAGTCTAGATGTATCCGCAGCATTATTTTCACCAAGTACAAGAGTATAAATAGAACGTAATCCAAATACATTCAAAAAGTACCATGATGCAGAAGATACCCATGCAGCATCTAAAGTGACTAATTCTATGCCTCGTTGTAACATTGGTTTAAATCTTAACGTTAAAGGAAATGGAACTTTAGCTGAAAAAGAATAATTAATAATGTCAGAAAAAATTTCATACTTTTACCAAGTTACATTGTGTAATTAGCTTTATAAGCTTACTTGTAACGAATCCAGAAAACATCCAGTTAATCCAGCCACCTATAAGGACCATTGGCAAAACATTTGTTAAATTTCCTTTCAACATATCTGTCACCATGTTAGGATCAGTCATTGGATTTTGTGATACAGGTGCACGCTTTTGTGTTTTAAAGTATCCTGTTTCTTCATTATTAAAAAAATGTCGTCTCATTATAAATGCAAATTTTGGAATATATTGACCATTTTCTCTAAGAAGTCTAGACCGTATCATCACTTGACTGGAGATAGAAAAAGAAATGAAATATCATTAATATATAAAAGAATTACCAAATAATTATAGAAGATTTAAATAAAGCTTACCTGTCTTGCACCTGATGAACTTCCACTTTTTTCTGTGAAGCCAGTAATATAGAAACATAATGTCGAATAATTCCAACTAAAAATGTGATAACAACTATAGGTAGAAATACCCATCCACGAATATTAGAATCCAAAAGAAGTTCAGCCATTGTGAAGCAAAACCTTTTCAGTATTATTAGAAAACTAATATATTTTCCCTATATAATAGAAACATACAAAAGTAATCCTTCAGTTATCAATTTTGACAAAGTGATGATTTTAACTATGACAATATATGAAAGTTTTTATCTCATGGTTTTAAAATATTGCCTTACGTATAAGTTTATTGATGAAATTAATATACAATATCTACACATACGTTTTCTACAACAATATCGTGAAGCACTTATGAATTACATTAAGAAATCACGAAAAAGAAGGTAATGTATAAAATGCTACATACGATTATCTACCTTACCAACCGAGAAAACTATACAGTTATAAAAGCAGATTCCTCTAGAGTGCACTGTATGCATAGTAATGCGCGTTCAAAGATAGAGGAGTTTATATAGTTGCATGTAGTGGCTCTGTAGAAAAGTCTGCCTGCGTTATGTTCCATAATAATATGATTCAGTTTCACTAAGCACTGTTACAAAATATAAAGTGGATAAGGAATATCTGAAATGTGCGTTAACGCACATAAGTGCGCAGTGTAGAATGTTAGAGTGAAGTTTAAATAGTAATAAATGCGAAGAGGTGATACCATAGAAAGGAGACATGGGTTTCTGAGAGGGATTTGGATTGCGCATGAAGACGTTAGAAAGTGGTAAAAGGGCCAGAAGATATAACGCTTACACCCGGCTGTCACGACGCCATGTTTCTTCTAAACGATCTGCCGATGTTGAAAACTTCTTTATTAATTCTTTGCTGTCTTGTTATCGTTTCTGCTGGCCTCGATGACGGGGGTATGTATATATATATATTATATATCCTCTTTAAAATAATAAGAAGGCGTAACATGTATCATTATGGGCGTTAAATAATGTCCCACTATTTTCTCTAACACTACTAGTGTTTTACTATATATTTATTATACAAATTAATCGACAATTGACATAATATGTTATTCTTTCTACGTGCATTCTTATTTCCTCTAAACACTATAATTATATAACAAAAATGTCTTTATATTTATGTCATTCTCGATTAGAAAAAATAATCATTTTGATCTTTAGATCAATTAATTATATTTATATTAATTTGGATATAATTAGTTATTTTTTATGGATTTAATGCTATTCGTATACTCATACAATCAATTGTAAATTAAATTTAGGATTACTAAACTATTTTTCATCTTTTTACTTTTTTATTTTTCTTGACAGTTTAGTTAGGATACAAATGAAATTTATTTATTATTTATATATATAAAATAGGTGTATATATTTTATTTTTCCTACGTAATATTTTTTTATTTGAGTAGAAGAGAATTATAATATTAGAAGTTCTTTATAAGTTATATATATTGAAGGAAAGAGTATAAATAGAGAAAATGTATATATCATACGTATATATATATATATATATATATATATATGCATTAGTATATTGCATCTACAAATTTAATATAGATTTTTTTTAGTATTGTCAGTATTATTCACATTAACAATATTTGTATATAATTATAACGTTTGGAATAAGCTTAGAATTTATTGGTAAACAATAGACAAGAATTAATTTAAAATAAAATATTTTATTCTTAGACACAGAGAAGACAGAAAATATTTGGCAAAATAATGAAAAAACTGCTACATTAGAAATAACAATATCTCAAGATATAGATGGAATTGAAGCAGACAGTACACCTTCTTTAACATGTAAACTTAATGTGCCTGGCCAAGTCTGGTGGACTGCCAAGGGGAACAATCTTACCACAATAAAAGATTTTGAAAATGCCGGACGATTTGATATTAAGAAAGCAAGTAGAAATGATACCGGTGATTACAAGTGTATGGCTCGTACTATTGAAGGAGAACTTCTTGAAAAAGAGATTCATATCAGGGTGATAGGTATAATTATTTTCATATTGATAGATAATCAATTATGCTACTATATCTAGAATATATGAATCATCAAATGTGTTTATATATTTTAGAACCTGGCAGAATAATATCGGATGAAGATGTTAGGACTAAAGTATTAGAATCAGCTAACTTGACGTGCCATGTATTTGGCTATCCACTCTCTAATTTTAGTTGGTTTAAAGGAAACGATTCTAAAACTAATGAACATTTGAAAAATCACTCGACTGTTACACATGTAAATGAAACCTATGTAATAATGACGTTAGATTTTAAAGATCTATCTCGCAAAGATAATGGTACATACGTTTGTCAAGCTGAAGATAACAAGGGCACAATAAGTGCCTATAAAAATCTTTTTGTAATCGATGTACCAAAAGTTAGCATTGATTTTATAAAAGCTGTTGGCGCTGGTAGTATCTTTTTAAATTGGACGGTAGATGATGGTAATGAACCAATTAAACAATATCTAATTAGATATATGAAAAATGGAACAGATAGATTTCTATTTTATAAAGAACAAATTGGTGGAGGTATCTCGAGTTATGTTTTGAAAGATTTTGAAAATGGAACGGCATATAAAATTGGAATTAGCGCTAATAATGCTCTTGGTTCATCTCATATACAATTTTATCCACAATGGGTCACTACATTAGAAAAAGGTATTTAAACAAAGCATAACATCTAGCTATTATTATAAGATCCTAATATATAATAATAATAATTACAAATCACATACAAAATTTACTTTATAGATCCAGTGTTTATACCAAAAGTTTCTGTTAATGGAGTTACTGAAAATTCTATTACTATAGCATGGACTGTACCACCACCACATTTGAAAGAACATGTACACTTTTACAATTTAATGGCAACACATGGAGATCAAAAACGACAGGCTGTTTATCCAGCACAGCAGTTTACTGTTTATGCATTTGTAGATCTTGATCCAGCTACTAATTACATATTTAAAATTGCTGCTTGTAGTGAATATACAAAACAGTGTGGTAATTGGAGTACTGAGGTTAATGGCACAACATTAGATGGAGGTATTAATAAATAAAATTCAATATTTTATTCATTATGGATTTGCGAATTTGAATGAATTAAAATATTCTTCATTACAGTGGCTAGTCCTCCACAAGAATTGGTAGTTACGTGTCAATATGATAACATAAGTAGTTCCAGTTCTATTTATATTACTTGGTTACCACCAAAAAAACCAAATGGTTTCATAACTCGATATAATCTAAATTTAACGGGCATAGCAAAATTTAAAAATGATATGGGTCGATTAGATATTGAAAATTGGAATTTATTTAAGAGTATTTCCAACAAAAACAATTTTAGATATGGTCAAATACCATCAAACACAAACTATACGGTATTTTTCAATTTTATATATGATAAAATTGTGAATCACATATATTATATAATTTCACGAATAATTATAATAAAATGAGCTATTTTGTTAAAAGGTATATGTACATGGTGTGACTAGGTCTCGTTCCCCAGGAAAAGATTCAATTGGTAATTGCACTACTCCAGTTACTATCCCTGACAGAGACAGTTTAAATATGAGAACATGGAGAAAAATTGAAAATCAGGGTAGACAGTTATTTCAATTATATTTACCTCGTATTTCTGAGAGAAATGGCCCGATATGTTGTTACAGAATATTTTTAGTGAAACTAGCACCACAAACATCTGTTTCTGATTTACCACCACCTGAGGAAATAAATGTATACTCCTACAGTTATGCCCATAGTTCTCCAACAGGCGGTGCATATGCTGCAGAAGCATTTGACAGTGATCAATTAATATCTGAAATCTTCCTCGGCGATGGAGTATCTTTTAATGGCAGTGTTCAATGTAATCGATGTATTGGCCTTCGAGCTAAAGGACCACCATCTGTATTACATTTTGTTCCTGAAACTGAATCTCCGACACCAGCAATTAATGGAACAACTACAACTGTTTCCAGTACAGTACCAACAACAACTACTATTAATCCTAAAACTAAATTAACTACTATTGAACAAAAAGTAGAAACAACAACTCCGAATATAATTATCAAGGATAATACAGAATCTACAATGCGTAGAAAAAGAGAAGATTCATTAAATTCTAAAACAATTTTTAATGACAAATCTTTAGACTCATCGTTGCCTTCTATAAATGATGGTTTTTTGGATGAAAGATCGAATTATACCGGTTTCATAGAGGTCATTGGTTGGTATACATTTTTTGGCTTACAGTTAATGTTAATGGCATCTTATTTTCAATCACATTTCTTTGTAGTTTTCAGTAGTAGTGAGGATCGATTTCTACCTGCTTACAGTGGTTATTTTAATCCTCTTTATGGAGGAGAAGATCTACGAAGTATAACAGCTGATGAAGTAACTATGCTTGAAATAATATTGCAAATTTCTATTGTTTTAATGTTGATCGTTATGGTCCCGCTTATTGCACTTTGCATATTACATAGATATACTAAACGTGCACAGCAAAGGGGAGAAGAAATTATAACTTTAAGAAATAGTTTCAGGTGGGTAAATAACGATTTTTGCAATTATTTTAATCAATTATTAAATATTTTATTACTAAAATAAAATTATATATTATCTTATTTTTATAATTATATAGAATTTATTTTTAATATTTATTATAGGCATCTTTGTCGAAGTCTTCGCGGGAGGCATCAGCTTGTGGCTGCAAGTCCACCTGATATGCCACCAATTCCAAAAAATGAATTGTTGCAAGTATATCTTCAGCGTCACAGAGATTCTGATTATGGCTTTCAACATGAATTTGAATTATTGCCTGATAGATTTACAGATCGTACTACGCGTGCTTCTGAAGCTAGAGAAAATTTATATAAAAATCGTTATCCAGATATTAAATGTTATGATCAAACTAGAGTACGACTTGCACAAATAGATGGTATTTGCGGATCAGATTATATTAATGCAAATTTCGTTCTTGGTTATAAAGAACGTAAAAAATTCATATGTGCACAAGGTCCTATGGAAAATACAGTGTGCGATTATTGGAGAATGATTTGGGAACAACATTTAGAATTAATTCTTATGTTAACTAATTTGGAGGAATATTCTAAAACAAAGTGTGCAAAATATTGGCCCGACAAGGGTGAAACGAAAAATTTTGGGGATATAACGGTTGAACACATTCAGGAGAGAGCATATTCTGATTATGTTGTACGTGAATTAAAAATGACACGTCTTGGAGAACGTGATGCCCGTACTATAGTACAATATCATTTCCTTGTGTGGAAAGATTTTATGGCACCAGAACATCCTCATGCAATATTAAGATTTATTAAAAGAGTAAATGAAGCATATTCCTTGGAAAAAGGACCAATATTGGTACACTGTAGTGCAGGTGTTGGTAGAACAGGAACATTAGTCGCCTTAGATTCTTTATTACAACAATTAACAGAAGAGGGTCAAGTATCTATTTTTAATACAGTATGTGATTTAAGACATCAACGAAACTTTTTGGTGCAATCTTTGAAACAGTATATCTTTATTTATCGTGCACTAATGGAAATGGCACAATACGGTGATACAGAAATTCCAGCATCCCAATTAAAAGCAACTGTTACACGATTAAGACAAAGAGATAATGGTAAAGAAAAATGTCGAATGGAAGAGGAATATGATGTAAATAGAAGAAATTTATTTTTTAAGATAAAAGATATTATTCTTATAATGGTATTGATCAATTTTTATTTTTTATCTTTACAGAAAATTAGTTCTTTATTAGAAGATAGAAAATCTTTCTCTGTTGGAGGAGGTGAAGAAAACAGAGCAAAGAATAGAAGTGAATTAGTAATACCATACGACAGAAATCGTGTAATACTTACACCTGTTCCAGGCAGAGAACATTCAACATATATAAATGCTTCATTTATTGAAGGTTACGATAATTTTGAATCATTTGTTATCACACAAGATCCATTGGAAACTACTATAGCTGATTTTTGGAGGATGATTTCAGAACAATGTATATCTACAATAGTAATGTTATCTGACGTAAGTGACTATTTATAAATTCTAATTAATGAGATATGACCATTCTTTATTTCTTTTCTCCTTTGCAAATAATCTACTATATACATTTAGAATATTGCGTAAATTATCATTGCGTACGCAATAAAATGAATTTGACTATTACATAAAGTTAAAGTTGGGTGATAAATGAAATTACAGTGACCCCAACTTAAGATAATTAATACATTTTATAAATATATTATAAGAATAATGTATTTTTTCTCGAGATAAAATATGTATGAGGTAAAACATATATGATAGTTTAAAAGTGAAGAAAAAAAGAAGTAAAGCATTTATATAAATTGCATTATTATAGTTGAATGAAGGACCACGAAAATGTCCACGATATTGGCCTGATGATGAAACTACTTATGATCATATAAAAGTACGATACATTCAAAGCGAAAGCTGTCCTTATTACACCCGAAGAGAGTTCTGTGTATGTAATACAAAGACAGATGAAATCGTAGTCGTAACACAATATCAGTATCATGGATGGCCCACAGTGGAGGGCGAAGTACCTGAAGTAACACGAGGTCTAATTGAACTTGTAAATCAAACAGAATCAAGTGGCTCGTTAGTAGTACATTGCAGTTATGGTTCGGATAGAAGTTCGATGTTTGTGGCATTGAGCATATTAGTGCAACAATTACAAACTGAGAAACGTGTAGATATTTTTACAACAACAAAGAAACTCCGTTCTCAGCGGCATGGCATGATCAGTACTTTTGTAAGTCATACTTTTAAATAATAATTATTATTCGCTAATTAAATATGTATAAAACTACAAAGTAATTTATTATATAAAATAATATTTGTTTCAGGCTCAGTATGAACTCTTATATCGTGCTATTGTAAATTATTCAGATCTTCACAATCTTGCTGATGGAGAATCAGTCTCATAATATCAACAAGTGTAAGTTGGAATAAGTTATAGCACTTCAATTATCATGTTTGTTGACAGGATACGTAAGTTATTTGCAAGCTTTTTGCGAACAAGAGTGCTTGAAGGTTTGTAAGTGTTGAGATTAACATATATTCAACCAACCAAAGAACATCAGCAGAAATATTAATGAACAAACATAATATAATATTGAACATAAAATTGTGCATAAGATGATTCAAGTTCCATAAATGTGGACATGAAAAAATTTTGCATATTATATTCTCAATTTAGCTACTAGAGAAATTTTGCACACACTATCTTTTAACGAATGGCCAATATTGTATATTCCTAAACAAGTAGGATAATATTAAATGCACAACTGAAACACGGGCTATCAGTGATATTGATCAATGGTTGGTTATTAATATAAAACTATCGTATATTCATGATCATCTGTAGCATTATGTTCATATTAACCACATTATCACTAAACTGTTCTAAGGAACTAAATTTTATAAAATGAAAATAAGGATCTTGTTGTCATTTCTCCTTAAGTAATATTGCAAAGTGTAAAGTATTCATTTAATGCCATAATAAAAAAATAATATGTGAAGGTATATATTTACCACCGATGAAAAAATGCAAGATATATAGTAACGAAGTATTAGAACAGTTTTTTTCTTTTCTTTTCTTATACTTCTTGTACTTTTTTGTTATGTTTTATTGTAAGATTAGTTAAAATATAACATTTAGGAGACATCTAAATGTTATATTTTAACTACTATTTTATATAAACTATTAAATATAAAGTTAGTTAAAATATAACATTTCATGTAATTTCATATTTATGAAAATCAATGACATGACTGGCGCCATAAAATCTTTTCACACAAGGAAATGATATTGTACTTTAGTACAAGCGTCTTGTTCTCAAAGGCATGTCATTTTTACGTCACGTTAATCGTAATTAGAATACGCTCTTTCATGAATGTGTTCAATTGTTATATCTAAACTTCCTGACTCTATTTAAATCGAATATAAATTATTATGCTAGTAGCAAGGATACGTGAGAGCAATTACACACATTAATAACATTAAAACAGAATTTTTTTATAACAATAAGTTCAACATTGCCAAGAATAAAATAATAATTGGCAGTAGACTGATATTTTCAAATTAGACATTTTCATAACACGAATATTCATCATAAATTAATTTTTATTATCATTTTTTCACATATTACTTACTATATTTATTGATTTTGTTTCAAAGTTTGATGTGTTTCATGCATATATACATACATAACGTGTATATATATACCAAGATCCAATTAAAAGAAAAAGAAAAGAAAATAAAAAAAGAAAAATTATATGTATTAATAAAGATTTTATAATGAGTCAACAGGAGTATTAATGAAAAAATGAAGTGCTTATAAAAATGCGAAGAAATACTTGAAAAGAAAAAGCTAATTAGTATGTTTATATGTATTATTTTTCGCTAACTTTAATGCTTTATGTTATTAATGCGTTATTTGATCAGAAAAAGAGTATGTTTAAAGAAAAAGATCTATGATTTATTACCACATTTAGTATTATCATATAATTGTACACACACATACATAGATACACACAAATGTGAATATGTTTAACTCTGGTAACATATATATCATACATATATGCGTAATGGTACGTGCGACTCACATGCACTTTTTTCTAAAAAAAAGACTGATACTTTTATTCATCCCGAAAATACGCGTTTAAAATATATGCATACGTAGTTCGTATGATATTTACAACGTTGTGTATTCTAATATGCGAAGGATGAATTTTTTTACGCTTCATACATCAGAAATTAGGAATGTCTATCTATGTATTACACGATACCTTTACCATTTATCAGTGTGTATTCATCAATGCACTGTTTAAAGGTAAAATAAACAAGGTTGATATAAATAAGAAAAGAAAGAAAAATTTAAGCGTGAGTATGGTGACAAAAAAAGAAATAAAGAAAATTATTTTTTATTTGTTGGCACGCGCGCGCGCGCGCGCGTTCGTTCATTTCTAGTCAAATTTAGCACCAAGACGTGCGTTGCTAAATCATGCTTTTATGGCAGGAGACAATCACATTTAATTAAATTTTTCTTATCACGTTTATATATTTATATATATATATATATATATGTGTATATATATATATATATATATATATATATACTCTCAGCAAAGCTTATTTGTTTCTTTCCTTTTCATATTAACTTTCATTCCATTTTTATAACAAATATATATAAATATTTTCATTATAGCGAATTAATTATAATGACCGATTTTTTACTAATAATTTGCTAGTTTACATTTCTTTTAATTATTTTTTATCACTTTTAGCGTCTTTTTAAGTCATTGTTTTATTTTTTTTTTTTGTTTTTTTCTGGTCTCTTTTAAATCCGATTTTTAATATAATTTCGAAAGGTCGATAATTGAAAATGATTCGAAAATTCGTTAACACGAGTGCATAAGCGCACATACGTTGTAAACGAATTAAAAAACCAAACCTATGTAAATGATAAGTATTCCTGTTCACGTATATCTGTATTTATATTGTTACCGTCATTTATCGTTGTTGCTATCGTATCAATGAATAGGTGTGATAATGGCTAGTTTCAACAGTTCGAATATATCTATTGTAAACGAGTGAGATAAATTTGAACAGAGGAATCGTTTTTACATGTTAGATACGAAATGTAAATTCTCGAAGAAAAGATCGATACTCGTGTTGTAAAAAAAGAAAAAGAAAAAAAAAGAAAGAAAGAAAGAAAAAGAAGTCTCAACGATAAAAAAAAATATCTTTAAACCGATATACTGTATAAAGCTACAAAAAGAAAAGAAAAAGAGAAAAGGAACAATGAATATTATCAGCCAATTAATTTTTTGATTTCATTCATTGTCATATTCGATTTAATTCCGTTTAATTTTAGATTCTTGAAAACGTCGACGTATAATCACGCATTTCACTATAAAGATCTTCATCACCATCTTTTTCTTTTTACATTTATATTTTAGTAATTGGCACGTTACAATTAAATACAGCTTATATCGTGCACAAAACAAAATACATATATATATTTCACGTTTATTTATCGATCACATTGAACATTGAATATAGATCTAATATCTTTTAATTAAAAAACAATATACTCTAACTTTTCTTTAAGATCATTGCCGATGAAAGCTTGATAGTAAAGCGTTTTTAATTAATATCAAATAGATAGTAATTTGCTTATTATTGTATTCTTCTTTTCATATTTTTTAAATAGTTATGTGAGTGTGTGCAAGTAATTGCAAAATATAATACTAAAAAAGGATGCAACGTGAGTGATGAAAGAGCGTGCCGTGTATGTGTGATGTCTGTTGTATGTAAGAACCAATTCATAAGAATTTGAAACAATGTGAGAAAGATAAAAAAAAAAGGAGACGGCGGTTTAGTATATCGTAAAAAAAAAATAACAAATCACAATTTTCTAATTAACAGTAAGCGTCTACCCACGCCATATTCTTTCACGTCAAAAAAAAAGAAAAAGAACGTTTTCATACAATAATTGCCCTTAATTGCTCGTAATTTGTGATAATGGTATGACACACAACTTAAAAAAAAGAAAAAGAAAGATATATCATTATAATTTCCTATATTAACATATTAATTAGCTAATTAATTGTTTTATTAACACATATACACACAATAATGTTCATATTATAAGTTCTCAATATTATTGAATCCAATAGGTGCTAGCATTATTAAAAGTAATAAATTCATTAATTAGTTAATACTCTCGATGACTTCGTAATGATTAATATAATTGAATTAAATGCATATATATATATTGTAGTTATAAATGTAATTAAAATATTTTAATGACGTAATCTATAACGAACGAAAGGGGAAAACGAATTTCCACATTAAGCCGTGCTTTAATTAACCGCTATAACTTTTTATGTACGTTTTCCAATAATGTGAGAGACGATTTCAGGTGCATACAAGTACACACATTATATAACATTCCTGTGATATTTCATACGAATAATGAGTTTAAAAAAAGAAAAAAAAGGAAGATTAACAAGTAAAAAAAAAACAAGAGAAAGAATTAATGAGAAAATTATCGATCTTTTTAATATTACGAATATGATATATACTTTCCATTTATTTTATAAGTATTCAGCAAATATTTTTCCAATGAACATTTTTGTATAATAAAACAAAAATATTTCGTCGCGAATATTAACGTGATATTTCGATATTTCATCGTTCGATCGTTATCACTATTAATAAATTATTTTTTCAGCATATTCGTTTTAACGATTTAAACAAAAATTCGAACAATTCTTCATAATAATTTTACTAGAATGAAAAAAGATCTTGGAACGATGTTAATTAAAAGAAAATTAATAATAATAATATTAATACTAATAATAATAATAAAAATAATAATACTAATAACAATAATAATAATAATAATAAGAGTAATGAAAAAACGTGACCTTTTTTTTAAAACAATCGTTCGTTTTCAGTCATTTTCTGCTAAGTATTCTATTTAATATTATTAAAGAGTTTGAAATATTTCTCTTATCAAAATGACGGGCCAGAAAGAAAAAATACACCGATAATAATATATTATTCATTAAAAATCCACAATTAATAATACACAAGGATCGTCATTCGTGTTAGAAAAAAAAAAATATAACATTCCTAAAGTTGGATCTTATTTTTGCCTATTATTGGGGGGGCCTATTACTGCCGTCTCCGTGTGCGTTAACTAACAACCATGAGTTATATTGTTTGTAAAGTAACTCCTTAAGATATAATAATAAATTTAACAAGATAATAATTATAATATTATAATTAATATTAATAATAATAATAATTATTATTATATAAATATTACGTATCGCATTAATATCGTATTCGTGTATAATGAAGGATTAAGATTAATTGCGTATAATATTAGATTTTGTATGATATTCAACCTAACAGGAAACAAAAAAAAGCATAGTTTATACCACGAATAGAGATCTGTATTTATAAATTAAATGTAACAATATTGACGATCGTACGCCTATCGATGAACAATGTATGTACGTGAAGGAACAGGACTAAATATTGACCCTGATCATCGAATCACTTTTTTGTATGAAAAGATTGTAAAACAATATCGTACACTTGATGTAAAAGAAAATACACAACAGTACAGTAATGAGTATCTATATTTCTCTTGATAATTTCTCTTGTGAGAATCAAACGAAAAGAGGTAGTAGGAGAAATTATTTACTAAAAAAAACTTTATGTATTATTATTCGATTCCTCGCAGTTTTTGTAAGTAATTTTTTTTAAATTTTTCCTGTAAGAATTGGGATAACTATAGTGAAGCTTTATTTGTGTGTGTTAAGAATGACCCTCTATCACCTACTATCGGTTGATTCATGATTTTTGGGACATCCTGTATAAATTTTAACGATCGAACTATTTTCTATAATACCCTCTGTTCTAACTCATAAAAATTATACTTCTTTAATAAATAATGATGACGACGACAGAGGTAACAGACACGAAGGCTGTCATCTAACTTCTAACGGCTCCTATAAGTAATTGCCATTCACTGAACCGTAATTCCGGGAACGCTTGTTTATACCTCCATTTCAGCATTACGGAATACGTTGAAAACAGTTTACTTGATAATGTAACTGCTACAGAATAATTCTTCTATGTAAAATCATTCCTTTCTTTTTCGTTTTTCGTCATTTCTCATTTTCATTATAAGCATTATTATATTCATATGTATATGTATATACATATATATAATAAATATAACAAAATAAAGTGAAAATATGTTTTAGACTTTAATAATTATTTCAATTATTTATTTAAATAATAGAAATATAATTGAGCTTTAATTATAAAATTTTTATCATATACTTGATTATTAATTTCTCGAGATCGAAAGAGAAGTCAAATTTATGAATATGTACTTATTGGAAGTAGTTCAAACGACGATCTAAAAAAATTTGCGTTATAATTATTTAATATTTATGAAAATGAAAATATAACAAAAATTAAACAATTATCATTTATCGTCAAAAATGTGTTTTAAAATTAAATTCGTGTTATTAAAAAATTCGTTCAGAAAAAAAGGATAAAAAAATTGTGCCTTCTAGAAACTGGCGATCATAAATCCGTAATAATAGTCATTTTCCAGTCAAAAATGATCACGTATGAATGGTAACATTTACCGAAATTAAAAAAATCTCAGTTACAGTTACAATGTCGGATGATATATCTTAAATAACACTTCGAAATATACTTATTTCGATTAACAACTTGCATATCTACAAATATATTTGTACAAAATAAAAATATAAAATAGTTTGTACATCTACTTCATGAAAGATAATTTGTTTTTTAGCTACTGGTTCCGTTATCACAAACCCTTCATTATTTCTTTTTAACGTAACACATGTAACTATATATATATATATATATAGATCTATATAACTAGTAGAAAAATATACATCATTATCGTCATCACACATGCGTTTGACTTACCAGGTAGAAGCTAACTTTCATATTACCATTGAAATACTTGAATTTACAGGTGGAGAATGTATAAGTCAAAGAAAACAGCAATTCACTTTAGTCTAGTCTTAGCTATATCTTGATAAACATGTTATACGCGTCTAATAAGTGATCGTATATATATATAATGGAAATAAATTATAAACAAGTTTTACATGATTTAATATTTTTATTTCGATAAAAAAAAGAAAATACTGGATTACCAAAGAAAAAAAGTATACAAGAATTTTGATATTCCATCGTCGTCTTTGACCGATTTTAAGTTATCAGTGATTATGTGTGTAATATCTTTTCTTTTTCTTTTTGATCGTTGCGAGTTTGTTCCATTTGATAATATAAAATAGCAAGAAATTATACGAAATGAGACATATTATATTAAAATTGTTATGTCTTATTATTATATCGTTATTAATCGATGCCAATGGAAGAATATTAACAACAACTGAATCAAGTGCTGATTATCTTCAAAAAGTTATGCTGGAACTTAAACAATTTCATTCACCTACTACACCAAATACTTACATTGAATCTACTGAATATTTAAAATCTAATAAATTTCAACGATATAATCAGAATCAAAATTACTCGATTCAAAATCAAATTTCACAAACGCAACAATACGATCAAATAATTCGTAAAGACAATTTTCGAAATTCGAAAATATCGTCTAATGAAAAAATGGATTTACAGCATTCTGGATCGAATAATATACAGCAATATTACGAGGTAATTTAATTTTTAAAAATTTTGCGCGTTAAAAGAAACAAACGACGATCAAATTTTCAACCAATCGTTACCAGGTTCGCTCCCCTACGCTTGTTAGTGTGGGAAATTTAAAAAATACTGGATTATTTGGAATTACACGTGCGGAACTTGCAGAGATCTATAAAAATGCATTAAACAAAGGACCATTGATCAGTGTGTCGTCTTCATCAAATGTTCTTTCCTCTGATAAGAAACCTCAAATCATAGAAACTCATCTTGAATTACCAGTTAGACAACCGGCGTATCATCATTACTATTTTTTTCCATTAAAAACAATTGAAAACGAACTGAACAAAAATGACGAACAACACCACTTTATGGCAGTACAGTATTCCCTTATTTTTATTGTCAACAAAAAATTTTATTTTTTTATAATAATTATAGTTACAAAAGGTAGCTCATATAATTATCTATTTTGCAGAGCACACATAATATCGATAATGTTGCAGAAGGTGCATCTCAAAAACAGTTAAGCAATCCACTATTTATAGCTGTTAGTACATTCGTCAGTATGGCTATTTTATTTATGATGGGAATTCTATTTTTACCAAAACTTCATCAATATGGCATTTTTTCAACAAGAGAAATTCAAGACGATTTTCTACACTTAACTAATATTGTTATGGGTGCCGTTGATAAATTTGTAGACTGAAATTTATATTAGCGTTTAGCAGAATATTTAAATTAAAAAACGCAACATTGTTACTATATGACATTATCGCATATCATTTAAAAATACATTTTTTTGGATTTATTTTTACACGTTATTATATTATTACTATCAATAAAATAGTATATATATATATATAGAAATATAATATTAATGCATGCTGCAACATCTTGTATATATATATATATATATATATATTGTGCTTTCTTACAGTAAACTATAATATAAAAAAAACAAGGGTAACTAAATACACTCTATTTGTTCAGGAATGTATATGTCTGTGCGATAATTAAAGTAAAGGTTTCTTCTAAATTATTTATATACTTATTGCACAATGGTAGGTACTCTTGTAAACATTACGTATATGAAATGTTTAATTGTACATTTTTTTACAGTATAAAAAGAATTGGGAAGGCACACTTTGGGATTCAAACTTATTCTTTGCTTCTCAACCATTTCCATTGGCATTAGAGAGGGATGCTTGATCTTTATTTTTTCTTTTAAGAATCTGTCTTTGATGCTCGTATTCAAAATCTTCTTCGCTTAAATTTAGCCTTTGAATCTGTCATGTTAGAAATTTATTTATATAGTCAATATTTATGGAAATATAGTTTCACTTTAATGATAAGAAAGATTATTTTACCTGATATACTAAAGCTTCCTCTTCTACTATGTGCTGTGGAGGATTTCTTAAAACTTGGAGAGTTTCATATGTTGTTGGACATTGTTTTGTAAGTGATGATCTACCCAAACATCCTTTAAGTAACACCAATCCTACTTTGAAAATAATTTTCACTCCTTCGCAAAGAAACATATCCCAAACACGTAAAATGCTTTCCCATGGTAAAGTTCGAGTATAAACACAAAGAAACCACTCGGTCATGTATAAAATAGGTTCCATCTTCTGTTTTTTCTAAAATTGTAAAAATTAAATAAAATAATTATTATGCTTTTAAAAATTGTAATATGTTTCTAATAATATACTCTTCAAACTAACAAGATGTTTATAAGCAACAGGTGAAACTCTTTTCAGAAGTGCGAAAAGTATATCACCATCTCGTATTAATGTTTCCATTCCTTGACTGTAATAACCAACAAGATACTTGTCACATATAGCAACAAGACACCAAAATGCTTGTACCGCTGGCATATGCATCAATAAAAATGCTGCGATAGGTGCTTGAGCTTGACAATAACCAACTTTTGCATTCAAAATAGAGTATGCTTTCAATACTTGAAAGAGCTCTTGTTGTCCAGGTGCATTTTCAACAAACATTTCATGATGAGGAAATTGTCGATGCAAATCTTTTTTAATATCTTCAATATACTTTGGATCACCATTTCTCTTAATTAATTCTTGATATAAATTAGGGTTTTCATTCATTAATAATTGTCCTCCGCATAGATTAAGCCATGCTCTGAGTCTTACAGAAGGCGGTATTCCTTTCCTACATCTTTCTCTAACTTTTCGATAATTAGTAGTCATGAAAAGGCTCCAATTATTTAACATTCTTATCCATTTTCTCTCTCTTCTCAATATAACATCAGGCGGTATAGTTACTTTTCTGAAACATTTATAACATTCATTTGAACATATAGGTATAAATCAATTAAAATGCTTGAGTACCTCATATTATTTTTTGGTTTACAATATTACCTTTCAGGACTATATTGCGAACCTCCAAGAAAACCATGACGATCTGGAACAGTTGAAATCACTGAACCACATTGATAAATACTACTAGCTTCTGATTCTGTTTCTCCATTCAATTCTTCTTCCACAACTTGTGCTACTGATTCAGCCATAGCATTTTTTATATCTCTTTAATACTCTTAATATAAATAATCAAATTATGATTGCAATAAATATATTACTATATATTACAGTTTTCTAAAATTGTTAATACAGATATATTAGTCATTTGTGATATTAATGATATTATTAATTATAAAAATATTTACCATGATTTGGAGTAAAATTTAATAATAACTAATAATTCATAAAATTATATTCTAAACTAGTAAAATAAGAAAGAAAAAAATGAAAAATAAGATAAAAATTTTATTTTTATAATACCTGTGTGACAGTGTACTCACTTTGACATTTAAATAGGATAACAGTACATAACCAATATGTTTTTCTCAGAATAGATATATATATATATATATGTATATGTACACTTTATATAAAGATGCAAAAAAAAATAACTATATTTTATACGTTAGGAAAATTTAACATAAATCATAAGATGTGCGCTTCTTTATAATGCCCATATTAGAAAAACTGTAAAAAGTAAACAATATATTATATGTGACACATCCCACACAAATATATCACATACCGTTTTATGATATCCAAAGGTGAAGATTCAAATTACACACTTTAAATATATCAAGAAATAAGACTTTTCTGATCATCAATTTTATAATAATGAAATAAAAATGTATGTAATAGACACATTTTAAGTTGATTTATCCACCCCAATTTGTAATCACAGATTTATATGCACACTATGATGACATATTCTGATAACGCTTTGCAAAAAGAACGTGCAACCAATGAGAAAGCAACGATAGTTGTTAGCATCTTACGTACGAATTTCATTGGTTAAACTTCAATGAAATACATTACTAATATTATAATGCGTACTTTGTAATTTTCTTCAATTAATTTATCATATATGCACATACACATATATATATATTATATGTATATGTCATTCATAAATAAGAATTAAAAACTTATTATGGTATTAGAGAGTATTCGCTTAACTAACATTATGTCATCTTTTACAAACGACGAAAAAGTTGATAAATTTATTGTTTATGGAGTGCAATAAATATTCACAATTCAGTTTAATTAAATTATTATTTTATTTAATATAGCTTTTTTTAAATTTAAATTTAATTTATAAACATAATATGATTTAATCACATGGTTAATCACATCTGCGCTTTTATTATGATAATGAGTAATGTTATAAAAAAAAAAAAATGTTTTTTATTCGTAATAATATTTTAATGCCTTTTATGATTTTTCGAAGAACGAGAACCTTTTGGTTTACTACCACTAGAACTTGGTGCAATAACTATTTGCCCGGCAGCTATCTCATCTCTATTAGCAGAATTTTCAATTTGTTTTTGAGCTTCAAAAAAAAACATAAAATCTCGTACTTGTTCTTGCAATTCTTTTATTTCAGATTCTTTAGTAGTTTTTAATTCTGACAGTTCTTCTTGTAATTCTTTATATTTTGTTTGCCATGCTATCTGATTAGATTGAAGAGATGATCTTAATTCCTTTTCCTCTTTTAGTTCCAATTGAACTTGTGCTAATTTATTCGTAGTATTTTGTAGACGTTTTTCTAAAGATTGTTTTTCTCGATTGAGTAACGTAAACTGGTTCTAAAATATATCGATTAAGATGTTTAAGTAATAAGAACATATGTAAGTATTATTTATGTAATAACAGTAATTATGTTTAATATAAGTAAATCTTGGTAAGATCATTTTATGTAATACCTTAAACTTAGTGTTTTCTTCCATTAATTGACCTAATTTATCTCTTAATTCTGTAGTCTCAGATGAAGAACGTTGCTCCAACCGATTAAATTTATCTTCAAAATATTGCCGCTGTGTTTCAAGCTGAGATGTCAATAAATATGTAAATTCTAACTGAACTGAATCAACTTTCTCTTCCATAGCAGCGCCTTCATTTTTGGTTGTTGCTTGTCCACCCTCCACCATCTTGCCATCTTTATCTTGCAATAAACGATGAACAAAATTATCACCAACATAATCCCATACACGATTGTTGCCTAATTGCATTGCGTAACAATGATGAGTATCACGATAATGTTCAAATGCATGTCCCTGATGATAACGAGAACATCCAATGTGACCACATATTAAACAAATCCATAAGGCTTCATTGCTTGTTCCTGCAGCTGCATAAAAGTATATAATAGTAGTATAGAGTTCAATAACTATAAACACATGTAATAGATAATAGAAAATATAACTTCTTTTTACATGATTTTAAATATACTCGATGAATACATACCACATTCCATGCAGTGACTATCTGCAAGCGGTTCTGGTGTTTGAGCGTAACGACATATTGGGCATGATGTATCACCCCACTTTACAAGGCAACTTGAATGAAATGTATGATTACATAATATAGTTAATATACCATCCACGCTTTCGTCCATTCTTTCCAAACAAACAGAACATGATGGCAATTCTGTATGACCTGTTAAAGGCATACCATTATCTCCTACTTCAACTTTTGACACAAACACCAGATGACATACCACATCAGGTTCCAAAGAATTATAAGGTGCACCATTAAAAGTTCCATAAAATTCACTAGCAGCACTCTAAATATATATGTAAAAAAATTAATTATTTTCGTTTAACTAATAAAAACCTTTTAAATTAAATTACAATATAATATTGTTTACCGAAGAACGAAATGTAATTAAAGCCATGTATTGATTCGGATTACCATCCCGTAAAATTCTGACATGCTGAATGTCTTGATGGCAAGCTGCTGTGAATGTTAAAAGATCATGACAAGTCATTGTTGCCGGAACTGACAGCATACATATGGTATGACTACGATCCGCTGCATTATGCATTTCAGTCAATTCACTAAAAAGAAAAGCAGGCAGAAAAATATATTTTCCATATAAATAAATTAACAAAAATACACATCATTTAATAAAAAATAGTTTTCTCTTCACACATATGTACATATTACTCACTCTTCTTTAAAAAGATGTAATATTCCTTTAGTAACTTCCACGAAAGGATTTCCAGAAATAAAATTGATTTGATCAGATTGAGAACAAGCTGTAGCTCCAATTATTTCTGTACCTTCAGAAGTTGATACTGAAGTACATGTTGTAAATGAAGTATCTTCAGAGTTGGTTCTTGGTAATAAATGAGGTTTGCTTGATCCTTGAGAAGATAAAAAGGGGGATGGCCCTTCTGCAGTGCACGAGTAGTTTTCTAAAGTAATATCTCTTGCTTCTCTACGTCCTCTCATTTTTCTAGCAGCCATTATACCTATTAATCAATAAAAAAAAAATGAAAATACATATAAATACTTAAATTTATTAAAAATTACTTACTTAAATATTTATAAATGAAACAATCATAATAAAAGTACACACAAATAAGAATACATAATTAAATCCATCTAAACTTACTTATTGTTTCTTCTTGACTTGGATTAACAATTTCAATGCGAATAACGCAAAGCGAAACCAAGACGATTTGAGAACTCATTACACATATCCAAAATTATTGCTTACATCTGTTGATAAATATTATCCATTCTCCATTATTTGTCAAATTGGAAAACATTAAACATAACCTATATAAAAAAATCCCTAATTCAAATCTTGGCTCAGATTAAAAATTGAACATTAACGTGCATATCAGTTACTTTTAAAAGTTACTAACATAATTTGTTTACACTCAACTGAAGTTGACTCAAAATAACAAGTTAAACACTTCGTAGTTTAATATGTTTTGTTGTAATATGTTTTGGCGGCACATTTAAAATAGTAATCTGCGTTGAATAAAATGGTAATAAATTAATTAATAATAATAAATTATATTTAAAGTATATTTAAAAAATTAAAGAAACTATTAAAAAACTAAAGAAAAAATAAAGAAATTTGATTTCAGTACAATTCCATGTAATGTCCTAATTAAAATTGAATTATAAATTTATAAATGCTAATCTTTAGATATCGTTAGTAAATTGTATAAGTTTAACAATTAATTTCACAATTATTTTATTTTATTTGAAATATAAACAACAATAGTTGCATTTTATTGGTTTTTATAAACTTGTACTGATCCTGTAATTTTAAGTATTCCTTAAAGTTATTACAAAAAATAGTTAGATTCAAATTTATTGTTATTATAAATATTATTTTAACAAATCTTTAAAATTGACACATTATTTATACTTGTACGTTTATATATATATATATATTCAATGAATCAACTTATTATTGTATACTCAGTCAATAAGTGACCAATGAAAATGCTCCTTCATGAAAGTTTCACAGTTACGGGAAATACGTAAAGCTTATTTTTCAAAGAAAATGGATGATCATCGCTTAGGTGGAAATCAAGATCATTTCTGATGAAAAGAAGCTTGGCTGAGTTCGAGACAATGGTTCGAATTGTATACAGTGTGTTTAAACATGGATGGCATCATTTATTAATGTTCGCTTTATCGTAACAATGCTAGGATGGCTTTAGGAAATTTTCAAAACATTTTAGTTGCTTGGTTCTTATGCTGTAGCATTGGCCTTTGCTATGGTAAGTATAAAAACGTATAAATAATGTTTAAATAAATGTATATTTGCACAAACACAGCCAATCGTCACATACTAACACATACACGAATAATAAACAATAAATTTGTGTTTATATATTTTTATAATCAGATATATATTTATAATAATATCTTTTTACAGGCACACCTGTATTACTTTTCGCTACTAATAAGGATATAAGAATAGCTAATGCCTCACGATCAAATAAAGTTATTGTCAAAGATTTATCTGAAGGTGCTGCTCTGGATTTTTATTATGAACGTGGTTTAGTGTGTTGGTCTGATAGCGGTTTGGAAATGATACAATGTATCCATTCAAATGGTACATATACGGGTGAAAGAATGATTGTAGTAAATTCTAGTTTAATATCTCCTGATGGTTTGGCATGTGATTGGTTTACTGGTAAACTATATTGGACAGATGGAGAAAAAAATAGACTTGAAGTGACTAGTATCGATGGACTATATAGAAAAGTTCTTTTTTGGACTGATATTTATCAGCCTCGTGCAGTTGCGCTTGCACCTATGAAAAGTTTACTTTTTTGGACTGATTGGGGAGATGTACCAAAGATAGAAAGAGCATCAATGAATGGAGATCCATCTACTCGTGAAGTCATTGTTTCCGATGATATATTCTGGCCAAATGGACTTACAGTTGATTATGACAATGAATTAGTATTTTGGGCAGATGGTAGACTGAAATTTATTGCTGTTATGGATTATTATGGCAAAAATAGGCGAAAGATTGTCAGTCAAGGGCTAGAGTATCCATTTGCAGTTACGTATTTTGATAATCGACTTTATTGGACAGATTGGAAAACATGGTGTATACATGCACATGATGTTCGACAAATGCAAGCGCATCCTCGGGACTTATTTCGTGGAGAATATATACCAGGTGACATAGAAGTTTGGGATGCAAGAAGACAACCATACGCAGATCATCCATGCAGATTAAATAATGGTAATTGTTCTCATCTATGTTTGCTAAGCACAAAGGATCCTGGATATACATGTGCCTGTCCAACGGGTGTAAAACTTATAGATAATTTTACTTGTGCTGAAAGACCGGAACAGTTGCTTCTCATAGTTCAAAGAAATGAGATTTGTAAAATATCTCTTGATTCTCCCGATTACACTAACTTTGTTTTACCATTGAGTGATATTAAACATGCAATTGCAGTAGATTTTGATCCAGTAGATGAAATGTTATATTGGACAGACGAAGAAGCTTTTGCCATCAGAAGAGCTTATCTTGATGGATCAGGTCAAGAAAATGTTGTCACAGCAGAAGTAGCTAATCCAGATGGAATTGCTATTGATTGGTTAGCACGTAACTTGTATTGGACTGATACAGGTACTGATAGAATTCAAGTTGCCCGTTTAAATGGTACTAGCCGAAAAGTTCTTATTAATGAAGATCTGGTAGAACCTAGAGCTATAGCTGTAGCTCCTGAACTTGGATGGATGTTCTGGACTGACTGGAATGAAAAACGACCAAAGATAGAACGCAGTAATTTGGATGGTACTGACAGAATAATTTTAATTACAAAAGATGTTGTTTGGCCAAATGGTATTGCATTAGATTATGAAAGAAAAAAATTTTATTGGTGTGATGCTAAAACAGACAAAATAGAAGTTTGCAATATGAATGGTACTGATAGGCGTGAAGTTATTACTGATAACTTGCCTCATCTATTTGGCCTTAGTTTAATGGGTGATTACCTTTATTGGACCGACTGGCAACGACGTAGTATCGATAGAGCTCATAAGCTTACTGGTGGTGAAAGAGAAGTTATCGTTGAACAAGTTCCAAATGTAATGGGATTGAAAGCTATACATCTTGGCCAAATAAAAGGTACAAGTCCTTGTGCCTATAACAATGGTGGTTGTAGTCACTTATGTTTAAATAGACCTGATAAATATGTATGTGCTTGTCAAATTGGATATGAACTTACAAAAGATAAACGTACATGTGTGATACCAGATGCTTTTTTATTGTTTGCAAAAAAAGAAAATATTGGTCGTGTTAGTATCGAAAATGCTAATAATGATAATATTATACCTGTTACAGGTGTTAAAGATGCAAGGTAATATTGCAGTACTATTTATGTTTATTTTATTTTGTACTACTATTATATTATATTGAATATATAATTAGATCAATATATATAATTTACTGTCCGTCTACTGTTTTTAGCTCTCTTGATTTTGATTTGAAAGACAACCGTATTTATTGGACAGATGTAAAAGTAAAAGCTATAACTCGTGCTTTTATGAATGGTTCTGATGTTGAAAAAGTTGTAGATCTTGGATTAGAAGCTCCAGTAAGTTTAGCTATTGATTGGATTACCCATAATTTATATTGGAGTGATACTGGTACACACAGGATTGAGATGATACGGTTACAAGGATGTAGTAGACGAGTACTTATATGGCAAGACATAATCGAACCTGCATCTTTGGCACTTGATCCTGAAAGAGGGTAATTGTAATTATCTTCCTTACAGATAAATTTATATCTCTTAAAAAATAATACAATTTATTTAAAAAACATTCAGAAATAATTAATTACATGAAGTATACTTTAATTATTTTTATATTAGTAATACTGAAATTTATTAAATCTTTTAGCCACATGTATTGGGCTGATTGGGGTAATTCTGGCAGTATTGAACGTGCAAGATTAGACGGGTCTAATCGTCAAGTAATATTAGAATTCATTGGTCGAGCTAATGGCCTTACCATAGATCATGCAGCTCGTAAACTTTATTGGGCAGATTTATCCACACCAGCAATTGACAGTTATGATTTACAAGCAAGAAGGAGGAAGTCTATTATTACAAAAGACATAGTATACCCATTTAGTATTACTCAATATCAGAATTACATTTATTGGACCGATTGGAATACTGGTGATATTGAAAGAGCAGACAAAAAGACAGGAGCTAACAGAACTAAAATACACAATAAATTAGAATCAGTGACAGATCTGATAGTCTTCCATGCTTCAAGACAGTCAGGACGGAATCCATGTGCAGTTAATAATGGGGACTGCAGCCATATTTGTTTCGCTTTTCCAGGAGAAGGTGGTACCCCATCAACTTCATACCAATGTTCTTGTCCTACACACTATAATCTTGATGTTGATAATAAAACTTGTATTGGTAAGTTGTAAGTTTACGGAAAGAAATATTTATTACATTATACTTTTTCTTAATAATTTGATTATTTTTTTTCAGCACCAAAAAATTTTATGATATACAGCCAACGTAACATAATGGGTCGCCTTTTGCCGGATACTACGGATTGTCCTGATATAGTAATGCGCGTGCAAGGATTAAAAAATGTTCGTTCTATAGAATTTGATCCAATTACACAACAGGTGTATTGGATAGACGGGCGCACTTTATCTATAAGAAAAAGTCTTGATAACAGAACTCATGCTAGTGTAGTTATATCTGGTGGATTTGGACATCCATTTGATCTAGCATTAGATCCACTTGGAAGATTACTCTTTTGGTCTTGTGCTGCGAATGATGCAATTAATGTTACTAAATTGGATAATGGATCTGCCTTGGGAGTGGTTGTAAAGGGCGAAGGAGAAAAACCAAGATATATAGCTATACACCCAGATCGAAGACTTTTATTTTGGATAGATATGGGAGACAAAATAAAATTGCTACAAAGTAAAATGGATGGAAAACAAAGAGTGATAATAACATCTGATCTCGAACAACCGAGTAGTTTAACAGTTGACACTGTAGCAAATCTTGTATATTGGACCAATGGTAAACATATTGAATTTTCTGATTTTAATGGTAATAATAAAAGAATATTAGTATCAACTGGAATAGGTGTAGCTACTCATATGTCTGTTCTATATGATTACCTTTATTGGTTTGATCGTGAAACACAATCATTAGAAAGAGCAAATAAAAGATCAGGCAATGGAAGAAAGGTTATTATGTATCGTGCCCTATCCGATTTAATAACTGTCATAACACCAGATGATCAAGAGATGGAATCACACATTTGCAGTCCTTTCCTCGATTATGGCGGTTGTTCACATTTTTGTATTGGTACAATTTCACCGATATGTTCTTGTCCTGAATACTTAGTTTTGTCCGAAGATGGGCGTACATGTAGAGCAGCACCTACGTGTGGTGATGATCATTTTACATGTGCTACTTCAAGCTCTAAACTCGATAAAGATTGTATTCCAGCTGCTTGGAAATGTGATGGTCAAAGGGATTGTTCTGATGGAAGTGATGAATTGGGTTGTCCAGCATGTGATCATAATCAATTTAGATGTCAAAGTGGTCACTGCATTGGTAAGAAATACTTGAGTTGTTAATTATTTTAATCTTTTGAGCAATATACTATTAAAATAAATATTTTTATTTCTGTGAAGATATTTCGTGGGTATGTGACGGTACACAACATTGTCATGATGGTTTCGATGAAGCACATTGCTGTAGATCGGGACAATTTCAATGTATCGGAAGTGGCGTATGCATTCCTGAAGCTGCACTTTGTAATGGTTGGGATGATTGTGCAGATGGAAGTGATGAAATGCCTCAAACATGTACGCCTACTACCGATCAAAGCCAATTTCCTGGTTCTGGAACAGAATCAGCCAAAAGTCCATATATTATTACAATAGTTATAATGATGGCTGCAATTATTGCCATAGTTTTAGGCTTATGTTATTATCGTAAAAAGTTCGGTAGTAATGAAGATGTACCAAATATTTTACATGATTCTGCTGGTGATCCACTTTCACCTAAACCAAATAGAGTTGTTAAGCCAATATTAGCACACAAAAATGGTAGAAAAGATCTTAAATCTGATGTAGAAAATGTAAGAATGTCTGCATTAAATGGAAGCAGCATTGGATCTAGTTATGATCGTAGTCATATAACGGGTATGTTAATGATTTTATATTATATTTAATATGTATCAAGAATATTTCATATGATATTGAGTCGTTACAGTATCATATATATTTATTTATATTGTAGGTGCATCTAGTTCAACCAGGGGCAGCTCCACTGGTGGATATCCTCAAGAAACGCTTAATCCTCCACCTAGTCCAGCCACAACAGCAAATTCTACAAGATGTTCAAGCAGTAATGCTTCTAGACATAAACCATATAGATATTACAGAAGTATAAATCAACCACCACCTCCAACTCCCTGCAGTACTGATGTTTGTGATGAGTCAGATAGTAACTACCCAGCTCGGTATCGTTACGAAAGTGAGCCATTTCCTCCACCTCCTACACCAAGATCCATTTATCATAGCGATGCAGCTATGAGTTGTCCACCATCACCAAGTTCTCGATCATCTACATATTTCAGTCCATTACCACCACCACCATCGCCGGTTCCATAAGGTATGTTATAACAAGTATAATGTAGAGCATATGTGAGGTAAATATGGATGAATATTTTTAATTTGTCATATAATTATAAATACATTTAGGAACATATCTTATTTTTTTAGAGTAAAACAAACAATCGGCAGCTAACTATTTTATTAGATTATTAACGTAATACATCCACCTATACCTCATTTTTGTGCTCTCTCATTTTTTTTATGTTACTTTTATACGAATTCTTTTACGTATTTTAGGATAAGTTTTTTAGTTAAAGATTAAAGATTATAAAAATAATAACAGTTGCATACACAGTATATTTTCTAAAGTAGAAATTGTAGACATATTTGTCGTTTATACTAGAGGCGTGCAAAGTTAACACATTGCCAATTACTTTTTATTTATGTTCAACGGATATTGTTTTATCATATTAGCACTCTCCAGCATGAGTTCATTGTTGTTACGTTAAAAATATTAAAGAGAGGCAAACATACTTGAGTGAGAATAATTAAACTCTTACACTGGAAATATGCGCTATGGGCGTCGATTATTGTGTTTATTGCTAAAATCTGAAGCATTACTAAATGTTTTATTATTTATTTTCAATATTTAATAAAAGATTCAAATAATACTGCATCAGCCCAATTATTTTCCAGTGGAAAAAGTTAAATAAATAACAGTAGTAGAAGAATAATTTCTCTTTTGAGAAAAAGTTTGCATGTCTCTGGTTTACACAATATTGAATACTATTCTATATAGATTCTATAAATACCAATTTCAGGTATTCTTTTATATAAATAATATGATTAAATTATATTTTATACCAAATGTTACATTTCTCTAAAAAGTGTGGTACATATATGTGATGCAACACATATATTATATGTGTACATATTTGGTTTATTTAAAAAGTCTAAATATGTTTTTCAATGATTAGCATATAAACCTATTGTGCCTACTTACTATGGTTATCTACATATATATATATATATATATGTACTATGAAAATGTGCAAATGCTTGTACAAATATTTTGGATAAAATATGTTAAGTATAATCATATTATTTTGTAAAATATATGTTTTTTCTAAACCTGAAGATAATACTATTACAATTTAACAATGTTTTTATTCGAATAGATAACAATATTTCTTTTTTTTATATATGATCTACTTTTAAAAGTATTTTATTAATTATATAAAATTATTATTATTATATTATTATTAATATATTTAGATATTAATAATATAATATTTAGATATTAATAGTATAGGTAGCTTTATGTATATGCACATGTATTACATAGTTATGCATAGCATTACATATCATTACTCTTAAGTATATCTATATGTTTTTTAAGTACGGTAGAATTCAACCAAAGGCTGCATCTTATATTTTATTATTCATTTTATAATCAGAGATTACTGATCTCTTGTAGAAAGTCTTAACTTCTGATACATGTACATAGATATATAGAATTAAACACATCATTTGAAATAATAATCATATCAGGTTTTGAAGTAATTTAATACAAAACAGGCAACATGCAAGCGTTACTTGATATCTACATTAATAAGCTAATAATATCAAAAGTATTTTAAGTACTGGACGCCTAAAAAACTTACAAAATACCTAGATATAAATTGAATATGTTATTGCAATTTGTACATACAAGATAAGGATATCAAATATATATAATAACATTTACACAATTGCACACATGGAAAACCATTTTGTAGTTATATTGTAATATTAAAGAAAATTTTTCTCTAATACTGTAATATGTAAATAGACAAATTTCAACTTAATACATCATAAATATATTTGAATATTCGTTAAATATTTTGAGTATATTCTGATGTATAATATGAAACACGTGTAATAACGATTACATTACGTAAAATTTTATCCGATGTACACATCGTCCACTTCATTGTTCCTGTAAATGTAGCTCAATTAGGAAATTGTGCCATAATCATTTGAATAGTATCATTATAATGTATAGCACAGTTATCGAATCTTGTATAAAATATATTAAGAGTCTTAAAGATTCTGACCTCGCACTGCCATTTTACATTGCCTTGAAGGAATCTATCGTATCGTAATATTAATAATATTAATATGTCTAGTATCAAAGACTGAAATCATCGTTTATATTTTTTTTACATTTGTATGATTATAGCGCCGTATGTTTGTAAGATATTTGTACAAAAAATAAAATTTTTATTAATGTATATTTTAATTAAATTAATGAAATTATGTACGCATGTTAGTCAATTGATTTCCTTATGACATTTACAAAGAATATCATCGTGTTGAGGAATAAATGTATATTTTTTATAATATATACCATTTATTTCCATTTTCCAGATAAATTTTTATATTTATCTACTGAATTAATTTTCTCATCTTGTGTCGATAATTCTTCGTCCAAAAGGAGTTCAAAATTTTCTAATGCTTCTGGACGTGGACGTTTATTCCATCTTACACTATATAAAAAAGAAAAAGAAATCACAAATATATATATATAATATTGATGATACATATGAAATAATTGTTCATAATAAGTTATGCACAATTAATATAAATATTTTGATTTACTAACTCAGGTGTTCCACTTGGTGGTAAAACTATAGATATAATATTATCTACTAATTTATATTTTAATATTCGATCATTTACTGTAGTTGACGTTAACGATGGCGAAGCATTGACCTACAACATGAAACATTTATTTATTCATTTCTATATTAATCATATAAATTAATTATATATATATACCTCGATGAGCCACGGTTTCAGTTTATTATCAATAATAATATCGTATCCATAGCATTCAAAACAATGACGATCATTTGCCATTACAGGTGCAACAGCTTTTAAAGAATGTACAATGCACCATGAGATGTTTGAAAATAATTTTTCAGTTACAGCTTTTCCGCGCGTACTCTCCAAATATAAACGTAAATTTTGTAAACTTAATTTTCCACCATGTATACTATTGTATTCGTCCTAAGAAAGAAATTTCAAATAATTAATGTTTCTTTTTTAATTGCATTTTAATACATTCATATTTACTATGAATTAATAAATTTATAGTATATAATGAAATCATAAAAAATTACTTACACCATGTTTTTGTACAGAAACATTAGTTAAGTGTACGTAAATGTTATCTAATTCTTGAATACTGGTGTCATATTTTACAGTACAAAAACGACAAAAACCAAGTTTAAATAAATAAGCTTTTAATGGACGAAAAGATGCAACAAGAACGTATAAACGAAGATCAAATTTTTTCCCTCCAATTAAAAGTGGATTATCTATATATCTAAATAATTTCATCTGCTTCATTAATTGGTAGAAGTAGTAATTAAGTAACATATTTAATAATTTATTTAGTATATACCTAGATATAACATAAGATTCTTTAGTAAGATTTGGATTAAATGGATTTCGAACTTCCCGTGACCATTTCTTTAATTTACTTAATTTATTTATTAAGAATATCCCCGCGCCTTGTGATTTCCCACATGGTTTCATAATCCAAGTACTTTGTGGTGATTTCCGGTATTCTTCCACGAACATGTTATAATCTATAAAAAATCATAGATTATAAAGATATTTTATATTTATTATAAGCTTTTTTTAAAATTTCATTACATTATATTATATTAATTTGAAATCCTTTTATTAAATATTACAATATATATATATATATCACACACATATTATCCCCTAATTATTTTTAAGACTAATATTTAAAAAAATTTGGTATTTACCTGCCGGTAAAACAAAAGTAACAGGTATGAAATCCAAATGAAGATACTTCCCTGATCCACTTCCTCTTTCTGCAAGAGGATTTCCTTCCCGTTCTAAATCTTTTCGATACCGTTTAATATTTTTAACTAAAAGATCTTTTCTGGTCAATTCGTAATGATTTGGAAAATGATTTATAATCCTAAATAATTCGAAATAAATGTAATATAAAAGATTGAAGTATCAAATCTTCATTTACGAGATAAAATAAATCAAAACAAACTTACTGATTATCGTTCATTCTATATCCGGTTTCTACGCTAAATATATTTCTACACGATTGTGTGGCTGCCCTATTAAAAATATTTAAAAAAATATATGGAATTATTAATTTTTTAAACGTTATTCGAGGTATATTTCTTTTTTTCATTATAATTAAAAATAATTACCAATAAAAATTCCAATCATCTTGAGGGCCAACTTGTGACCAACCTCTTTTTTCAAAATTATGCACTATTACAGATTTATCCATGTCTGTGCAAAATGCAGTCTTAGTTCTGTCCATTCCAAATGTCAATACTCTATAAAAATGTATATATATAATTATCTTATTAAATTAATATATTTTTTTATAATTGTATGTCGAAACATTTTATCTACGAACAATATTTAATAAATGTTTGCACGTTTTTATTAATAGATAATCATTTAGCTAATAAAAAATGTCAGCTATCTTTATATACAATAATTGTTTTACATTTAATTACGTAAAATATTAATAATAATAATAATATACAGCATTTTTTTTTACCTCCCATAAGTAATAGAAAAATGAGAATTCTCTATGCGTTTATCCGTTTCTACGACGGTTGCCATTTTTTCAATCAAGTTGTTTGATCGATAATTTACAATCATTTGCATAGATATAATTAATAAGATTCATAATTTGTATTATATTTTAGTATTATTTTTCACAATTTTATATATCTTTGTTTCTTACTCCTAACGTTTGAATTTGTTAAAATTATCAACAAATTGAATTTACCTTTTTGCCATGTCTTCAATATTTATAAAATTCCAAACGAAGAGATTAGTATTAAATCAAAAAAACATTAATAAAACATGTTTTTAAAAAATAATGAATAATTTTCGCTAAATGTCAAATAGTTTATATGTTTAGTGTAATTATAATGAACACAAATTTTGTAAAAAGTAATTCAGCCTTGTAACAAAATTGTTATTTATCACATTTTACTTAATATTTATTCGTTAAAACAATCTTTTATTAATATAAACCAGTGGTTCCCAAACTGGAAGAGGTAGAAATATATTGAGAATGAATTTTCCATTGGATCAATGTATTTGTAACAAACATCGTAATATTGCACTCTAATATTTTTTTATTGATTATAAAATGTTACGAAATGTCTTCGTTGTTGAGAGAACATGATCTCATGATGACAATTACGATAAATTAATCTGTACATTATCATTTTATATAACTAACCTTCTTTTTTTACTGAATTACTAATTTTAGACAAAATGAAAATAAATTTATCAATAGATAAAAACAACACTCGATGTTTACAAATTTTGCTGTATGTTACTAAAAACTAAACTGTCTTTATTGTTTTTCTTTTTATATTAGATTATGTTCTTTAAATAATAGGAACGAAAAAATATTTTTTTTAATGTGATCAATATATGAAAACTAAATTCTGAACCATCCAGGATCACTTGGTTCTTTACAATCTTTTAGATATAACTTAAAATCTTGTTTTACATCATCCAAATTTGGTTCTTGTTTGTTTTTTTCTTCTGGGAAAAGATCAGGAAATGTAAATGATTGATTTTTATCCTGAAACGAAAATTTCTTATATATTTAAACATATTTTTTATTTAATTAATGTGTGTGTGTTACTACACTGATCTTATTTATAATAATATTAACATGTTTTTAAGACTTTGAATGTACTTACTAAAACAACATAAGCAAGCTTGACATCATCTTCTTTAATAACATAATAACGACCGTGTAGTTTTTTACATCTTCCAAGTGCTATTCTTGTTCTCACATCAACAGGTTTAACGTTATAAATTTTGTCTAAATAATTAATCACATCGTATCTTGTCATTTCCATAGAGCATTCAAATTGTACTACATTTTTGGGTTGTTTATATTTTGGTTGAATTAATTTTAGCCAAAAGTTTGGCAAAAATATCCTAAGCTGTGGATTACCTTTTTGATACAGAGGATACCTACAATAATATATTAGAAATGATATTTAGCAGATAATACAATTCAGTATATATAATTATCATTTATATTTACCATCTGGTGGACATTTTGATCTTGGTATTTTTATTTTATCAATTATCTTGTATTCTTAAGAGTACATCTACCCTAAATAATTAAATTTAAGATTTATAACCTATATAAACGATAATAATAGATAATAAGATTGCATCAATGTGTGCATTTAAACTTTGAGGAAGATTTTCAATGCACGACAATAGAATTTAAATTGTTACTATTGGTTCCTCATTAAAATATATTGTACAACATTAAAGTTAGACTTCAAGTTCTGTCTAGTATGCTAAAGATGAGCTTAATAAAATAATTTCTCCACATAGATTACTCTCTCTCTAAAGGTATCCAATTTCGGTGATAGTTATAAACTCACTCTTTTGACAAATGTTTATAAAGCCATCGTAGCCATATTGATTTTTTGATATGAAACGAGGGAAGGTATGGTTGATATATTCTGAAATGTATTTAATTGTTTTTATAAGAAATTGTTTATTAAGTGTGTGACGCAATTAATGAAATGTTAGCGCTCATTAAAAGCGTTTATTTTATTAAAATAAAAATATCAGGGCAAGCTACCAGCCGCATTCGCGCAATGTGTGAGCTGATGCGGTTAGGTTATGCTGTATTAAATGTTTCTGCTTGAATGATCATATCTACGAACTTGTCATGATAAAATATATCGTAGGTATCAGCAAATAACTCGAATGATTAACGAAATGGAGTCTTCTATCGTCAGTGACATGACCTAAGTTATGACTTAGAAATACAGAATTCTGTATTTATTGGATATTATAAGATACACTTATTTAACTGTATTCCTTATATCATATTGCCATCCTTATGTATTATACAATGAGCAGCTGGACAGAAAGAATGCATCGTCGAGCAGCTACACTGGGTAATGTGGTTACAAGTTGTGGACATACATCTGTACCACCATATCCAAGACGTTTAGAAAAGTTAGTGATAACTTTAATTATATATTGAATATATTCTAACATGAATTTATATATATATACATATTAGAATAATGTAATAATTATATATAATATACATATTATATATAATGTATTATATATAATACATTATAGAAAGTTATACTATATACAAATTTGATATCAATGATTATAGAGTTAAGTTTGGAGTACCCTTGGATGAAGTTTGTAAACATGATATACCTGGTCCATTATTGGTACGTATGTGCTTTTAATCATTTAAAATAAATGTACAATTGATTGAATACTTTATATTTTTAAAGAAAGAATATAAAAGATTTAAATTAGTACTATAATAAATAGTCATATTTTTTAGGTACTGATATTGAAATTAAATAAAGAAGCTCCATTAAGGAAGGATATTTTTAGAGCACCAGGCCATCAGGGTAATATGAAAAAGCTCATACATTTTCTACAGACTGGACGTTTAGTCAATATGGACAACTTCAGTGTTTACACAATAGCCAGTGTTTTAAAGAAATTTCTGCGCAAAATACCTGGCGGTGTTTTTGGAAAGGAAGGGGAACAACAATTATTCACTGTTATTCAATTGGACAGCATGGAACAGCAAAGAGATCAAATTCATAGGTAAGTATTAGTTGTTTAATTATTATTCTTTAATATAAATAATTTATAATGATTAATAAACTTTTTATGAAACTTTTGCAGATTAATTACTTCTTTACCAGAGTATACGCAACGATTGTTAGTGTTATTATTTGGAACATTCAGAGTTGTAGCAGTAAATAGTGAAAGAGCTTGCACAGGAATGTCTAGCGAAGCATTGGGTGTATCTGTAGCACCTTCATTTTTCCAGAGCTGTGTGAGCGATGGAAAAACTGCTAAAATGGAAGATGTTCTCAGATTTAAGGTATGTTTAGCAAAATATTTGTATGAAAAATTATTTTAATTACTTTTTTATATACTTATTACTAAAATACTATCACATTATTTTGTTACTTACTGTAATAATTATTCATTCATGTTGAACATAAAACTGATACTATCTGCTTTTAAAAATATCATCATGAATTTTGTATACAACAGTATTCTATAGTACACACTTGTGTAATACATATTCATTTAAATATACACATTCTATATTATATAAAAATATATTAAATCATATTTCATTTTTCTTGTATATGGTTACATACAATATTTTCTTACAATAATATATTTAAGACAGCATGCCAATATTTGTACACTGTTTTATACACAGCTATGCTATGTTTCATAATTTTTTCACACCATGCATTTGCTTACATTTACCATCAGGCGGAGGTCTCAGTAAGTTGCTTATAATGACAATAATTTTAAGCACCGTGTAATATATATATATAAATGTTGATGTTCAATATAATTTTTTGTATCAAATTGTATAAGATTTACTATATAAATTTGTATATATTTTTATAGCATGATATCAGAAATTGTGATAAATGTTAGTAAATCTCTATATTTTGTATATCAGATATGATTAATGCAGCAACTTTGTATAAAATGAAAGTAAAGTATATAATTAATAACATTTTTATTTAAAATTATATTTCTTATTTTTTCTCATCGTAGAGATATTTCATATTATTTTACAAATAAAATGTTCATTTTTTCTTTGTTTTAATATATCATATTACATACAAATATGCACATAAATTCACAATAACAATAGTGTACTAATAGTATATATATATAAGCACGAAAAATGTCTATTATAAGTGAGATAAAAAAATTGTTTAGTAGCTTATATTATTATATTTCCTTTAGGTTGCCACATGCGTTATGAAATTTATGATAGATAATTTTGGAGTATCAAATTTATTCGGAAGAGAAAATTATGAATTTTATGCGCGTATTACTGGAAGAATATTAAAAGTAGAAGAGGATTGGATTTTCAGTTTTCGATATCCTCCGGATACTCTAGTATCTAGTAAGTTTTGAAATTATCATTAGCTGGAACATGTATTGACAAACATAAATGCATTCTATTAATATATAGTAAGTTGATTATTTGAAAATATTTTTCTTTAACTTATGTATTATTTCATAACTAGTGCACACTGGGCTCTTACAGTTGGATATATTTCAGGACAACTCTCTCTTGAAGCTGAAAAGACTTGGCTGCAATATGAATGTGAAAGGTGGGGTCTAAAATTTAATTTAGAATGTAAGTAAAAATTGCTTTTAACTATATTTAAACAAAACAACTAGTTTAACGAATTATTTTATATGAAAGTTGAATTTATTTGTAAAAAGTTATTTACAAAATTTCTTAATCGTATAATTTGTATAGCTATGTCACATCAAGAGGAATCGCAGTCGACACCAGCCTTAATTCATGTACCACAAACTCTCGATCTTACATCTTCATTAGGCATAATTCCTGAAAATACATTATTAGAAAGTTATACACGTTTGTCAGTTAGCTTGGAAGAGAATGGTTTGTTTCAGGTATGATATGTGACTTTTTTATAATTTTGCATCAAGATTTTATACAATAATCCCTCTATTTACGTGGACTTGTGTGAAGAATTAATCTTTTTGTATAGGCATCCAGTCGATCTTCAAGTAATGGTAGTCATCATTCTCGACACGCAGGAATGACACTAGATGAACTTCGAGCAATTAATCGTTATGCAGAAAGTACTAAAAGCCTTAGTTATTTACCACAGGTTAAATATAATGCACTATTTATACTTATATCTCTTTATATGCTTCAAAATACTTTTAAACTTTTTGAAGCATACTAATTCTTATTATCAGGTACATGAAAGACAAACAGCACGTATGCGTACAAGATCAGAATGGTTTTTAACACCTGTAGGAGAAATATTAGCTGCTACTGATAGTGATCCTACGGCAATGCATGTGCTTCGTGGTTCAAATCGGTCATCATCTGGAAACATTGGTATGTTTTATAGAATAATAATAATACATTATTGAACTTTTTCATATTTTATAGAATACTAATTATAATAAAATATAAATATGAATTTTAGCAGGAGGTTTAAGTGCTAGTGCTGAATCAGTTAAACGTCCAAGTTTACGAAGAACATCATCAAGAGATAAAACACGTATGCATCGTAGTTCAACCCGTAGAAATAAAGAAAATGGGGCTAAGGGACGTTCCATTGATGCATGTAAGTCACGATCTATGGAAACTATTAAAACTAAAACTGTCAGAGTCGCAATAGATCAACCAGTGGAAAAAATGTTGAAAAGTAGCCGAGATGTAATAAAAGAAATCGGAAATGAGGAACGTATAGAAGTAAATACTAGCGATGTTCCCATTGGACCACAAGATTGCACTGAAATGGATGTACAAAGTTTTCACGTTACGTTAACGTACAAGCCAAGAATATAGATATTTGAAAAACTTATAAAGCACTGAAAATTATACTAACATTTCGGAAAACTATTTTTAGTGCATTTTAGATCTAAGTACAAATTTAGTTGTATAATTGTCTAAGGATGGAATTTTCGACATGACAGCGAATTAATTACAAATTTTTAAACTATATTCCCTCCAGAAATGAAGATAGTATGTTTGCATTTTTTTAATTTTATTTCTTTAAGAGTAATGAATTATATGTAAATCGAAAACCCATGTGTATTATATATTTGCAGAATACGCACGTATTTTAAATTTATGAATATGACAAATTATGTTATAACCAATGATGTTCTAAAATCGTAAGACTGCTTCTATGTATAGGACTATCCATATCATATCATTATCTGAACATAGTGCTTCTAACTATTTACATACATTCTCAAAGTGTCTATTAATCTTTAAACTGTATTTTTTCGTTTTCATGTATGTTACGTTTTATAATATTGCTTTACGTTACAGATAACTTAGAGAAATTTTTATATATATTATGTGTAATGTACAAAATGATCATAAAACAACGTTAAAAGCGAAGAGATTTGATCAGGGTTTTTATTAATTAAACAACTATATCAAATAAACAATATATTTTCTCATTATCTAGGTTTTATCTTAATATTAATAATAACAGTTTTATATATATAAAATTTTAAATATAAGCCTCAGTTAATATAAGTACTATGAAGAAAGAAGAGTCCAAAAATTTTCTTACTTTTCAATTTTCTCTTAAATGGTATACTCAGTGTTCTATATAAACATTGATTAATTAAGAACTATTACTTTTCGCTTTTAACGTACCTTCCTACTATCGATTAGATGCATTTAGCATTTTCTATTTATCCATTTACATATTCTCTATTGTAAGATTAATTCAGAATGTTTAATTTACCTTATGTCTCTAACAGACATTTATACTTCACCATTCCAAATGCATTTATAAGTCTCTGAAATCTTTTATCTTAATTTTCTTCTTTTGTGTAAAAGTGTTGAAATTTATTTATTTAATTTTAATTATTAATAGAAATATTCTATAGCTTTAATTAAATTGATTAATTTAAATATTTTCTTAATAATTATATGTGTTAATGTACTAATTAAAAATGATTTTGTATTTCCATTTTTTATGTTATTATTCTAGTTAATATATTTTGTATCTATTGAAAATGTATATCTATTGCAATCAACTATTACGAATTGTTTGCATTTAGTATTATCTTAAGCAGCTGAACGGTATTTAATTCACATTGTCATTATAAAACTTAAAAAGAAGTATAATCCTTTAAAAGGAACTATATAACGTTACATAATGACAGATAAAACTTTGTGCGTAATACATAAGAGATAAATTTTATATGGAACATTAAAAGGTATTTATATCTGTATTATATAAGCATCGAGAAATTTATAGTTATATCACGAAATTATTTATTAATGACTACGATTAATTATATTTTAATCTATTATTTGAATTTTATTTTCTATAGTAACTAATTAATTATAAGATCAGTTGTGTACTGGATATATTATTTAAATGCGTACAAATTTATTGAATGATGCTCCAAAAAAGGTGTTCTATTATTATTATATATATAGATAATAAGAGAATCTTATTATGACTGTAAAATCGATGTATCATTATTTAACACCAAATATATAAGATTCTACATATAGACCCAAATATTAGGTCGGAGCACTCAATAATTTTAAATTGTATTAAAAGAATTTAATTCGGAATTAGCATTTTTTTCATTTAATACTTTCTTTGCAACTTTTAATGTTTCCTTTCATTTATTGTGCCAATAATTAATAATCTAATAATTCAATAAAATTATCGACATAAAAAACTTAAGAAGTTTTACTTCCATTGCATGTGGGTTCCACGTGCTGTTTTTTTTTATTGTTTTCATATGAAAAAAGTAAAATTCTTCTTCAATTTATATAATATAAAATATTCATACTGTAGTAGAAATTAATTTCGTTTTTGTTTTATAAGTTTATGAAGTTATTGCATTATAATCTGAATAATATAATATAACTTGAACAAAAAAGACAATAATTATTACTAAATCTTTTTTGAATTACTAGAGACATTTTTTATTGGATCTATATCGTCATGGACTCTTATTCAACCAATCATATGAATGGATTTTAAATTTAAATGTTCAGTTAATTATATAGAATTTCGTTCTAATGTTAATAAGACAATTTTAATGTGTAGTTAATATATTCAAATAGGTGAAATTGAAATGATTTATATTAAAAAATTTAAATATTAAAAATCAAATAATAATAATACTAATCAACTCTTGTAAGTTAAACTTTCATTTATAAACTATACCGACTATATACAAGGATTTATTCGATGGGTGGTGGATAAGTTTCCAGGAGTACAAATATTAGATTTTACATCATATTAAGAGTAAAAGAATGAATTTATTCTTAATTATTTAATAGTTTTTCAATTAAATAATTAATAATGTTGACCAGACAAATGGAATCAGAAGTTGAGAAAACTCTGTAAGTAATGTCAACATATTATTTAGCTCATAAATAAGTATATCAGATGGTTTTTACACATACAATTTTATTTTATAAAAATAAAATAAATAATAAGAAAATTCTACATAAATAATATATTATAGTGAGGATATAAGTTAGTTATATATATATATATATGTATATATAGGTTACACACACATTCTAGGTCATATTTTAGTATGTTTTGTATTAGGTTGTCCCATAAGTTCTTTCTATGTTTGTAAACATGTAGGCTTATCTATTGTGCATTTATAGCATCGATTTCAGTTGTCTTACAGCTCTTCCAAAGTACATTTCGTTAGTGACAAAGTCTCTTTTAAAATCTTTTTTTACGTCGTTATTAATTTGTTAAACCGAATAATATATGCTTTAAAAAATAATATACTTACTATATAATATATATATAGCTATATATAAAATATTTAAAAGAAAAACCGTTTTTAATGTATTTTTTTTTTAGTAAACCTGAACAAACTAAAGATGATATTAATATGCCAGCAGTTACAGCTAAATTAGAGATGTTGACAGTAAATACTAATAATACCAATAATACTAATAATATTAATAATGCAGAATCAATCTCAGAGACCAGAAGTCGTAAAATTCTTAGAAAAAAAGTGTCAAAGATTGGTTACTCAGACTCTTCAAACAGAAGGTATTTGTATATGCGTAAATATTATACAGATATGTATTTTGTTGGCAAATTATTTATTTATTTATGCAACATTAGATGCAGTCTCAGGCCAAAGAAAAGAAGTTTAGAAGATATGGAATCGGATGAAAATATTATGGAGTACTATTTAGATAAAAATCCGAAGTACAAGGTAAATAATTTAGAAACAATTTTTGAAGAGACAGGAAATGCAAATGAAAATTTTTCGTATATGAGTGCGAAAAAATACAAAAGGATGATTAAGTTTCAACAACAGCCTACTGATACTAAATTGAAAAAGAGAAAAACTAAAGTTAAAAGAGTATTTGGATCCAAGATTAGCTATAGGCGAAAACGTGGATCTATAGATGTATTACTTGATAAGTTAAATTATATTAGATGTAACTCACCAACAAATTCTGGAAGCGAAACAAAATAGCTATTATATTATAAATATTTAGTAGTAACTATTTGATTATACTATTTTTATAAAAATTAAGAATACGTAAGCTTTTATGTTTTAATGGTTTCAATACCTCAGAACACGTTAGCACTATTCATATTTCATGGTGAAAAGTGCCAAAACATTGGATATATATTAAAACAAAGTATTATTGCATAGCTTTGTTACTTTCTACAAATTTGGAGTTTATATTCTAATGAATAGTTAAAACAATCGGAAAAAATGCTTAATATATGTAATGGTGATTGTATAATCTCAAAATTACTAAATACCTTATAATACTGATTGACATACTGTGTCTTGTGGTTCTCTATATGACATTTTATATATCAATGGTAGTACTATATAAGCATGTATTTAAATCGATATGATAATATCAACTCACTTGGTTGTTTATACGCTTAAAATGATCAATATAACAAAGTTGACCACAATTTTTGCTACCACAATACTATTCTGTCAAATTTTTTTCCTTCTCTTATCTTAGAAGATATTTGATAGCATACATAAAAATATTATAAACTTAGTTTTAACTTTTATACTTTAACAGATGAAAATCGTAATAATCAGTTTTATTTATAAAAATGAATTGCATACAAAATAATATAAAAATTTGTTAAATTTGTTAACTGCCTGTTTATTTATTTCATTTATACTTATAAAAATAAAATTAGTATGAAATAATATCGTGTAATAAATAGATTGCAAAAATATTTCTAACATAGAAATTATTTTACATTACATTTTATTGAAGTTGTTGAACAATCACTATACTCCTTAAAATTACCTTTATTTTCTTTGTATTCTTTACTATTAAGATTAACACAAGCACATCTGTGTTGTTTTGAGCCAGGCATTTCAAAATACATTCTTGGAACACCGATCCAATCTCTTTCTATACCACCACTATAAATAAAACGAATCAATTGTTTGTTAATACATAAGTATATAATTTTTAGTTATGATATTACCTTCTTTTAGAACACCATAGAGTAGTGCCTATGTTGGCTTTCCATTCTATGTTACAAGTTGGAAACAATTTTTTTTTTTTTTCTTCATTCGCTATTTCTTTCTTTGCATCTATCAATTTTTGCTTTATTTTTAAAGACTCAACCGTTGGAGAACCATCTTCATTGAAATATCTTCCGCTTAATTTACCTTGAAAAATTGTATCTTTTGTTTACCTCAATATTCAATATATACGATTTTAATTGCGTTATATATATACCTTTATAAATATAATTTGCTTTATAAAACTGTACCCAATCATCTAATGCTTTAATTTTTTCTAGAGAAAGTTCAGATACATCATCTGTTATTTCATTCTCATTAAATTCTCCGGTAACAAATGCTAGAGATGCATCACAACCTAATAACAAATATGAAGTTATTTATTTAAAAATAATGTTACATTTTTGTAACCCATAATAAAGATTTTTTACCAACAAATATGTGATAAGATGCTCCAGGTTCATAATGTTTAGCTCCTTTCGTAACATCAAAAACTTGTCCTAATATTGAAAGGTACAACCCATTTTCAATATTATTATATTTTTTTAATTCATCTCTAGTAAATACTTTTTCTGTTTTATTTATATCTAATAATTCCAATTCTGATTTACTAAATAATATGTACATTAAATTTTTCAATTCTTTAGGTAAAAAATGCCATATTATTTGAAAATAATTCTCCGAATAAATTAAATAAATACTTGCTAACAAAAGACCAAACCAGACATATTTTAAAATCATTATTTACGTCTTTTGTTTAATAAACTAATTGTAATACAATATTTTTCATAAATAATATATCACAATCAATAGCTTTAAACATTATTTTAAAGTAGAAAAAACTAATCCTTTTACTTTAAAATTAAACTGAAACTGATTAGAACTTAACTGAATCAATTACAGTAAATTGTGTAATTTTTTATTATGTCTTATATATAGAAATATGTAATTTTATATTATGTTTCATATACAATTGTTTGTATTTCTTGTGAACAAATTCATGAAATGTTAAACTATTATATTGAATAATAAATTACAATTGTGTATGTGTGTATATAAATTTCGTTCAATCCTCTTTGAAGTAGAGAATATTTTTTAAAGGCAAATTTCTAGAAAATCTAATTGATTTTAATGTTCTAACAATTATATTCAATTTAGAAAAATTTATTTTATAAAATATATATTATACAAAATATGTGTCAGAATATTTCAATGTAAAGCATAACATACTTATTTGCGATTTAATCATAATGCTATATAAAACAAATGTATAATTTTAATATCTCACATAGAGACCCATGTAAACAGATCCCAATGTTACATGTACAGAACACACATAGGGTGCGTTCCACTAAGCGCTCACAACGATCACGCTCACGACCACAGTTTTTCCCGTTCCACTTACCTACGAGCGTTACTGTCGTAAATTCAAGTGGAATGGACTATGGTGCGTTTTGAGCGTGGAGGTAATAATACAAATGGCGAGGTAGTGAAAAGAAAGTAAAAGATTAAAGAGGTTAAGATTTAATCTGTAATCCTTCGTGTCAGTTTCACGGTCGCCATTTTTATTGTTGTCAGTTTCGAAAAAACCGTTAATTTTCTCAACGCTCACTACGACCCACGTTTTCAGATGCGGTGCGTTCCACTAAGCGCTCACAACGATCAAAATGCTCCTTTAGTCGTTCCACATAACGACCGCGGTCGTTGTGGTCGCGGCGAAAACGTCACTCATGACGTCATTACTAACGCTCACGCGAGGCCCACAACGACCCATCTGAAAACGTGGGTCGTAGTGAGCGTTGAGAAAATTAGCGGTTTTTTCGAAACTGACAACAATAAAAATGGCGACCGTGAAACTGACATGAAGGATTACAGATTAAATCTTAACCTCTTTAATCTTTTACTTTCTTTTCACTACCTCGCCATTTGTATTATTACCTCCACGCTCAAAACGCACCATAGTCCATTCCACTTGAATTTASGACAGTAACGCTCGTAGGTAAGTGGAACGGGAAAAACTGTGGTTGTGAGCGTGATCGTTGTGAGCGCTTAGTGGAACGCACCCATGGGTCGTTGTGAGCTTCGCGTGAGCGTTAGTAATGACGTCATGAGTGACGTTTTCGCCGCGACCACACGACCGCGGTCGTTATGTGGAACGACTAAAGGAGCATTTTGATCGTGTGAGCGCTTAGTGGAACGCACCCATAAGTTAACATTTTAATGGCGGATTCTGCGCTAACGAATCAAAATACAGTTATTTAAAAATGAAAAATATATCCTATGCTACACAATACAATTGTTTTTAAATAATTTTTATAAAAATGTTTAAATGTTTTCTATTATTAAAAGTTTTAATATCTATGTAGCAGTAATTAATAAACATATTAGTGCATAATTGTGGTATTGAAAAAAGTTATGACAAACTTAACGCATTATGTTATTTTTGTTTCCCTTTTCAAGAATATAAAAGTAAATTTAATAAGATTATTAAATAATAAAGTTTTTATTGTCAGAAATAAAAGCACTAACCACATTATTATGAAAGTCCTTAATGTAGCTGAAAAAAATGATGCTGCAAAAAACATTGCTGGTTATTTGTCACGAGGAAATATTAGAAAAGTAATATTATTTTTAATGAGCCTCTCATTTGATAAATTGATTAACTGCACAAAATAAAAAGTTAAAAAATTGATAAATGAATATTATACTATGTCAATATCATTTATTATTGAACAGCCATGAAAAATATTGTTATTTAATGGTCTTAAAGTTAATTATCAAAAAGAAATTTATTTTAAATATTAAAAGTTAAATGTTGATTATATATATATATAATAATAAAATTTTAAAAAAGTTCTAAAAGTGAAGTTAATCTTTTTGATCGGTGAACAGTTCAATTTTGTATATTAAAATGTAAAAGAAACCTCTAAAAAGTTTTTTATTCATTCAATTAATATGAATATATTATAATATTTCTTTTGTTTTTTTTTCCAGAGGGATGGTTTATCTGTGTATAACAAAATTTATGAATTCAATGTACGCTTGTGGAATGAAGATTGTCAAATGATTATGACATCTGTGTCTGGACACTTATTGGGATATGAATTTCTAGGTGCTTATCGAAAATGGCAAGGATGTCATCCTTTAAGTTTATTCGATGCTCCTGTCATAAAACAATGTGTAGATGATAATTATTTAAAAATAAAAAAGACTATAGAAAAAGAAATAAAAAGTTGCAGAGCTTTGATCATTTGGACTGATTGTGATAGGGAAGGAGAAAACATAGGATTTGAAATCATAGAAGTATGTCAGGCAGTTAAACCTAATATACGCATATATAGGTAATGTAATACATATGTAATACTATATGTTAATCAATTATTTATCTTATTTTAAAATTATAATACTAAATATATGTGTTATGCGTTATAGGGCCAAATTCTCAGAAATCACACAAGCATCTATAAATAGAGCTCTTCAAACTTTGGACACACCGAACAAGGCTATCAGCGAAGCTGTAAATACAAGAAGTGAATTAGATTTAAGAATAGGTATGCTACAATTTTAATTGCACTTTAATGGAAAGCATAATTGTAGCATTATACTTATGGTAGGTGTAGGGTTGTACAAACATAATTCATTAATAAGTTTACTAAATAATTACACATTGATTTGTATATATCTAGCTCATAGTTTGTATGCCTTAATTTTATTTCTTTGATACTTATCGATAACCACTTAGCAATCAAATACTATTCTTTTATTTTTTAGGTGCTGCATTTACAAGATTTCAAACATTGCGATTACAGAAAGTATTTCCTAGAACACTCTCAGGCATGCTTATAAGTTATGGTAGTTGCCAGTTTCCAACATTAGGATTTGTGGTTGAAAGATTTTTAGCTATAGAAAGATTTAAACCAGAACCATATTGGAAAATAAAAGTAATGAATATTCATAGTGATATCTCTGTTGAGTTTCGTTGGGATAGAGTTAGACTTTTTGAAGAACTACCTTGTCAAATATTTCTTGATATGTGTCAAGATAATCCTATTGCTACTGTTACCAAAGTTACCAGTAAACCGAAAAGCAAATGGAGACCATTACCGTTAGATACAATTGTAAGTAACGATATCAACATTACAATATTTATATTTGAGTTATCAAAATTTCTTAATTTATATCTCTTATAAATATATCTCAGGAATTAGAAAAACAAGGTTCTAGAAAATTGCGTTTAAGTGCGAAAGAAACTATGAATATAGCAGAAAAATTATATACACAAGGTTTAATTAGCTATCCACGTACTGAAACAAACATTTTTCCAAAAGAATTAAACTTACAATCTTTAGTTTCTCAACATACAAATAGTTCTATATGGGGTCAGTTTGCACAACGCTTGGTGGAAGATGGGATATCTCCTAGGCAAGGCAAAAAAAGTGATCAAGCTCATCCTCCTATTCATCCAACGAAGTTTAGTTCTTCTTTACAAGGTATACTTAAAGAATTATTTCTAAAATTATATAAAGATATAATTGTTTATTTTATCCTTAAACTTTATAATAGGAAACGAAGCTAAGGTATATGAATTTATTGTAAGGCACTTTCTGGCTTGTTTATCCCAAAATGCGGAAGGTCAAGAAACTATAGTAGAAATTAATATAGCTGGAGAAAAATTTCTTGCTAATGGACTTCAGATAATAGCAAAAAATTATTTAGAAATATACATCTATGAAAAATGGAGCGATAAAGAAATACATAGATATCAAGAGGGACAAACATTTCAACCGACTAGTATTGAAATGATAAAAGAAGAAACTTCACCTCCTAAATTATTAACCGAAGCTGATTTAATTGCTTTAATGGATAAACATGGAATTGGAACTGATGCAACTCATGCAGAACATATAGAAACAATAAAGTTAAGACAATATGTGGGTTTACAAGATGATCAACATTTTATTCCTTCCAAATTAGGAATTGGGCTTGTAATGGGTTATGACAATATGGGATTTTCAATGTCTAAACCAAATTTAAGAGCAGATTTAGAAAAGGATCTTAAATTGTATGTTATTAAAGCTACATTTTTTCTATTTCTAAATTCTATTTTTATATATACATATTAAAAATTTATCTTTTTATCAATAGAATTTGTGATGGTCAAAAAGATCCCAAATTAGTCTTACAAGACCAAATAACTAAATATCGTGATGTATTCAAATTAGCAATGGAACATGCTAATTTAATTGATAATGCTATAGCAGAATATCTTGAAGAACAACCATTACAAATACAAGAAACTGACATGATTAATACTAATACAAACATAGTCGTTTTCAAATGTCCTAAATGTAATTCTGACATGATATTAAAAAATAGGAAACAAGGTACAGGAAAATATATAAGTTGTATGGGATTTCCAGCATGTAATAATGCTGTATGGTTTCCTCAATCGATCGAGGATGCAACAGTTCTAGAGGATACGTGCACCGAGGTCTGTGTACTTTTTCATAAGTTATTCTTTAATCATTCCAGAGAATCATAACTTATAATTAAAAATTTTTTCTCTCTTCAGTGTTCTGGAAATATGCGCAAAATAAAATTTAAATTAGCACGAAATATGATACATTTGTTTGAAAGTATATATACAACTTGTATTGGTGGTTGTGACCCTAATTTTAATGAAACAATGGGCATCAAAGGAGACACTGTTAAAAAAAGAACACGGGTTAATGAAAGTGGCTATGAAACCATGAGTAACATATCTGTGCCAGAAACATTGAGCAGAGTTCAAATGCGTAATAATACAGGAGAATCTATTTCAAATTCAAGAACGAATACTCAGAGAAATAATGTTCTTCTACAAAATGAAAATCGTGGGAGAAATCCTCCTACAAATAATCGAAAAGAAGACAATACTGGATCTACTAAAATGAAAAACAATACTAACAATTTGAATCTGTCGATAGGGTTTAATAATAATAATACAAATACTAATAATGTAACCTGGGGGAACATAGACAATGATGCTGAGATAATGTGTCAATGTAACCAACGTGCAATTCAGCTGACAGTTAAAAAGGATGGTCCAAATAAAGGTAAATTATATGCATACAATGAATTGGAACACTATGGAGTAGTATAACAAAATGAAATATTTTTAATATCTGTAGGGAGACAATTTTATAAATGTGAGAAACCACAAGGTAGTGGCTGTGATTTCTTTTTGTGGGCTTCCGATAGACCACAAGAAGAAAATATAATAAATCATAATAATCATAATAATCAAAATGTAAATTGGAGTGCACAAAATCGAACACAACAGCCTAGTACAAGTAGTAACTCTGCTAATTGGAGAAATACTAGTGTTTCAGAATCAAATAATGTTATTATGTGTACTTGTAATGAGCCAGCTAGACAGTAAGTAAAATATTTTTTTTTAAAGATATATATTTAGTAAACAATCAAATTTAACTGTTATTTTTATATACATTTTGCAGACTTACAGTACAAAAAGAAGGACCAAATAAAGGTAGACTCTTTTATGCCTGTCCTAAAGGTAGAGACAGTACATGTAACTTTTTTAAATGGGCCGATGTAGATGGAAGTGTTAATACAAATGAAAGAACAAATTGGGGGAATTCTGGAAACAGAAACAGTAATACTACGCACAGAGGGAATAGCTCAACTTCTAACAGATCTCAAGGAACTCGCGCCAAAAGAAAATGTGGCATTTGTGGAGTCGCAGGTTTATTTTTTATTAAACTATAATTCAAACACTATATAAAAATTGAAATTTACATTAGTATATCTTATTATGTTTTTAATAGGTCATACGCGGAAAACGTGTCCAGAAAATGTTATGGATAAATAATAAAACAATATTGTAAATTATGTACAGTTTTTCTAAGTATAATTTTAAGTTTTTATTTAAAGTAAATAATTCATAGCGTAATACATACATATAACTATCTGCGCCTTACTTTGCTAAAATTGTCTGTTGAGATTACGAATCATTTATAATCTCTTGTTTTATATATAAGATTTATTTTTATTACATTAATTAAGTGCACAGAAATGGCACAAAATAAATTGTCCTATAATTGAAAATACTGTATCTTATGTAATATACGTCATTTTAATCATCTATTAGATGATATATTATTTCTTAATTTTTCCAATTCATCTTTTTGTGATTGAGCTTCCGTTGTAGTTTGTGTAAGCTGCAATATGATCAAAAATATGATATTTGAAAAGTTCGAATATATCATAAGTAAAATGTAATTAATGTCACTCCAATATTTACCATATCTAACATTATTTCAAACTTTAATTTTAACAAATTGTTTTCTTCTTCGAGTCTTTTAATTTCTTTTTTCAGTCTTTCATTTTCTTTAAACGTACCACTTACTTTTCCAGATTCTATAAAAATAATAATAAATGCATAAACGATAATGATAATAAAATAATTTAGTTTTTGTACCTGGTATCCATACACCATTTTCAAAAACTGCTTCTTGGTCTCCTAGTCGTAAACGAATAGGTCCAACGTCTGGACCTAATTCCTTTTCTATTCTATTAGGGCTCAAATCTTTATTTATTAAAAATGTAGATGCTTTTCTCGTCGGCGTTTTTTTCGGAGAAAATTTATTTGAAAATAAAGGCATTTTTTCATCTACAATTGCATAATAATAAAATAACAAAAACTATACTTTAAGGTTAGGTTAGAAACGCCAGATCAAGTATTAAAATTCTAATAATGTTTTTATAACTTAATTTGTAATCATTATATTTTATATAAATATTTAAATTTATAAATACTGAAAAAGATTCATATTTAATTTAATAAATTAATCGTTGCGATAAATATAAATAATATGCATCCTTTCTATATCTCTCATCAAACATAAGATGCCATATTTATAAATACTTAAGGGAACAAGTCTGATTAAATGAGACATATGTACTGTTTTGTGACGTTCATTTGATAGAAGATTAACTTAATATTTTGCTAACAAAATTGACTCTTATTTAAAATGTGATGTAATGCATACAAATAATTCAATTCTACAAAATTATTTTTGTTAAAAAAATTATGTAATTTAACAGTAATTATCAAAAATACTTTCAGAAGAGAATGCCACGAAAAACGTTTGTTTTCTGGCAATAGATTCAAAATAATTTGTACAACTCATTCATAAGAAATAAGTTTAAATGATAAATAAATCGTGTATAATCCATAATTGTAAATATAAAAGTAATTAAAAAGTTACGCGTGTTAAAGGAATGTATACATATATATATATATATATATATATATGCAATATAAAACGATACTCCTAATTTTGTATACATATATTAAGTAATACATTTAGAACGATACATGAATTTGCAAATATATATTGTAGCATAAAATTTGAGCATAAAATAATTGCGATTAAATTTTTCCAATTTACTTGTAAAATTCATGCTCAGATTCATCTTTTTTAATATTATTCTTATAACCCTTCTCAAAGTCCTTTGCCAATACTATATAACGATTTTCTCGAACCGCGTGCATACCAGCTTCTTGACAAATGGCATTTATATCAGCGCCTGAAATTCTATCAGGTCGAGCCACATAATCTTCAAGATCAACTTCTTCACTTAAATTCATTTTTGCTGTGATTGTTGAAAATATTAAACGTTTCTGTCGACGATCGGGTAAAGGAAATTCAATCTTACGATCTAATCTACCAGGTCGCAACAATGCTGGATCTAAAGTGTCAGCTCTGAAAAGATAAAAACAAAATTGAATTATATATAAATAAAATAATTTGTAATTAAAACTATCCATAAGCAACACTTGCAGACTACATATTGCACATTCATTCATACCTATTAGTAGCCATTATAACTTTCACATTAGTAGTTTGATCAAAACCATCCATTTGATTAAGTAACTCCAAAAGAATACGCTGTACTTCACGATCAGCTCCAGTTTGTGCATCAAATCTTTTAGTAGCAATAGCATCAATCTCATCAACAAAAATAATAGCAGGAGAATTTTCCTTGGCTAAACGGAAGACATCTCTGACCATTCTTGGTCCTTCTCCTAAATATTTCTGTACGAATTCCGAACCGACCACACGTATAAATGCAGCTATATGAAAAAATTTGTATTAATTTAAATGAATTACAGAATTAAGTCTTTATTAAAATACAATAAAATTTTAATACCTGTAGTATGTCTTGCAACAGCTTTAGCGAGCATAGTTTTTCCACATCCTGGTGGACCATACATCAACACACCTCTAGGTGGGTCGATACCAATCTGTTTATACAGTTCGAAATGCGTCAGTGGTAATTCTACAGCTTCTCTAATTTCTTGCTTTTGCATATCCATTCCACCTATGTCGCTGTATTGAATGTCTGGTTTCTCGTCTACACATGAAACAAATTAGTTAAATATTAATAAAATCCAATATCCAAATTTTTACAAAAATCTCAAAATATAAGCAAAAATAATCACCTGCTTGAAGCATCGAGATACTTGAATCAGCTTCTGGTGGAAGAACATCAACCAAAGCATTGCTGTGCTTATGAAGTGCTACACTTGCAGAAGGCTTCAGCAGTTCTCTATCTATCGTAGACAAAATTCTAACATAATAATTAGAGCCTGTTGTAGATCCAACTATTCCAGTGTTTTGATCTACAGCTTCTAAAAATTGTCCTATGACCAATGGTACGCTTTGTATACGTTTCACTTCTTCTTGAGCGTGTAAATATTCTTTTTTCAAATTTCTTTGTTCATCTTTAATATATTCTTCTTGCACCTCCAAAAACTCTAACATCCTCTGCAATTTCTGCTTGAAAATATATAATAACAATTATCGTACTAAAAAATAATGAAATCTAATAAAAATTTCATTTGTCTGTTTCTTGCCTTGTACTTGGTATATAAATCTTCAACATCTAATTCATCTCCAGCTCCTGTATAATGACCAATTACTGGTTTAGAATCAATCTCAGTGACTTCCTAAAGTAAAAAAACAGAAATAAAACATATGAGAGAAGAAAAAAATATAAAAGAATATAATTTAAAAGTGAAGATTATTCTTAATCGAGGTTATGAGTAACTATATGAACAAAACTATCGATAATTATCGAATTCTCATTTTTTTATTTTAAAGGAATATAAAACGAAATAATTGTAATAAAATTTATTTACTTTATCCGGCAAAATGATTCCAATTTCTTCCATTGTCTTCAACTGATTTAACACACAGACAGTTCAATTAGACATGCAGGATACCAAATGACTTGAGATTTTTCGAAAGGCTCGAGAATGGACAAGGTATGAAATGGCAGCCATTAACTAGAAAGTTATAAAGAAAGAAATCTTATTTTAATATTTCTCTTATATATTAATGATGTATAAAATTTTACATTCAACATAATAAAATTCCGTTATTATTGCATATTAATTTAATATAATTTATATAAAT